ATAAACACTTCAAATAATATTAACAAAGGGAAGAGAATAGTCTAGATTGTAATAAAAAAGAAATGATAAAAAAATATAAGAGAAGGGTCAATAGAACGTAGATCGACCAAGTCAGCGTGAGACGTGTTTTACAAATGATTCCCATTCTGAAAACAGCTAATTTTCAGTTGTAGATACGTGCGTGATGGAAGGGTAAATTACATAGTACAGAACGATACTCGGCCTTATATATCATACTGAATTATTCACCTGTCTAAGTCCTTGCACAATCGACTAAGAAAGAAATTCGTCTTAATGCTTTTTTTTTATTATTCGTAATTTCTCTATTCGTCATATATTCTAATGGTTTTTTTTCCTTTGCATCTTTCAGCTTTTTGAAGGCAACACCGACGTTCATCGTATAAATAAGAATATACTCACTCCGCCGATTATTGCAAAGGCGATACGGATCGTTCCCGTTGCGAATCATCCAAGAACGGTTTGCATGAGGATAGAATTGTACGGATGTATATGGCAAGGTCGGTTTATATCATATCAATCGTCTACTCGATTCAGTTTACGTAAACTTCTCTTACCGCAACGGTTTATCTTTAGCGAAAACAAGGATAAGGGGCGATCGAAATTATTTTTACTCGCAAGGGGGTGGGAAGTAGAAGAAAGCGAAGGAGAAAGGGTCCTATTTCCTCACAATCTCCTTTTTTCTTTATGCCCTTTCTGTTGCGAATATCGGATTTTTGGACGGTTTATTTACTAGGCTTTAATGATGATCTACTCCGATTACGTCGGATATACAATGGAAAACTAATGTACAGTTAAATAGACGTCTTACGATCGTACAATCCAGATTACTGGGCGTCATGCTGTCTAGTATTACCTTCATAACGGGACAATATGAGGAAAGGATGAGTGACAAAACTCTATTTTCCACGCCATCTATAGAGCAATATTGCCGCCCCTATATATTCCGATTAGGTTCGAATCATTTTCTCGTCGGTCGGCCTCAATCGAATCGGGTGAATAGCGGCGAAAATTGGATTTCGCCAACGGCCTCGGATTAGCATTGCGATGGCGAAGAATTTTAGGCGAGGGGCGCCTTTTACGATTGTTTGTTTGCGCATGTGCGAATGGACGCCGTTCAGTCCTTTTCTTTCCCACCTCGTTTGATCGTTTTCGTTCACGTGCCCCTTTTTCTTCTAGTTATTGACTATTGACAAGGGGGTGAATCTACACGGTTTTTCCATATTTAAAGATTTATTGGCTCATTTTAATTTAGGCGCTTGTAAAATTATACTTTTTGTAAACAGAGGGACTCGTCTCGTATTCGATGAGGCAAGGTGACTCCAGGCGTAACAAGGGTAGTAACATCGATTTCGTCGATTTTACATACGATGGACAAATAACGGGTAATCACTTGTCGGGTGGACTCGGTCAACTAGTCGATGGGGAATGGGGCGTGAAGAACTTCCGTAACGACAATGCGCACAACAAGAAGAAGGGCTACGAGTGGATTGGATGGAGAAATGATTCTTCCGATCAGGATGGTGTCAAAATCGTGTTTGAATTTGATGCTGTTAGAAAATTCCAGAAAGTTTATATTAGATGTAATAATTACTTTTCGAAAGGAATAAGTGTATTCGAAAGGGCAGAGATACGCTTCTCAGTTGGAGGGAAGTATTTCAGCGAACAACCTTTAATTTATAAACATACAAAGGACGAAACAATTCCCAAGGCAAGAAATGTCATAATATCATTACACAATAGAACTGGAAGATTCATTGAAATGAAATTGTTTCATTCTAAAAAATGGATTTTGATTAGTGAAGTGACCTTCAAATCTGTGCGAGCCGTTGGTAATTTCACGCCCGAAGTGCCAGTACAACCTCAAACCACGAGTGAGGTGAAGGAGGAGTTTATGGGCGTGATAATGGGGGCGGTTTGCAGTGTGATTGTTATCTCGCTTATCGGGGTTATTGCCCTATATGTCAGGCATCGAAGAATGAAAAATTTACTGTCAAGTATTGGTTATAAAGATGGCACAATAAGTATTCGGCTGACTGATGCTCGTGTGACAAACGGTAAATTATCTAATGGTACTCGTTACAAAGGAGTTGCAACATCCGAACAAGATGAAAAAGTTATCGAAGGTTATACGGGGCCGTGTGAAAATTCACCGTATGCTATTGTTGCTGATTTTCCGAATACTTTCAATCCTGCTCACATATGTCCGCCCGCATATAATAGTCACCCGCCGCCACCACCACTTCCCCCGATGCCTAATGATCAAATATTAGAGCTACCAAGTATTCAAGGGGTTGTTGGTAGTTGCGTGTACGCAGCAGCTAACTGTAACGACCTTATACCTACGGCACCAGTCGATTTAATCGATTTCCCTCGAGATTGCTTAAAAGTTAGAGAAAAGTTAGGCGAGGGCCAATTTGGAGAGGTTCACCTTTGTGAAATAGAAGGAGCAACTGATCGATTTGGTGAAGAATTTACTTATTTTCAAGGCCTTCCAATTCTCGTAGCAGTTAAAATGATTCGTCATGACGCTGATCTTAAAGCCAAGTTTGTTTTCATTGTTTTAAATATTGGTTTTTTTTTCAGTTTTTCTCTTTTAATTAACCAAATTCTTAAAATAAATAGGTGCGATTTCCATAAGGAAATCCGATTGCTGTCGAGGCTGAGAGATCCTAATATCGTTGGCGTTCTCGGAGTTGTCAGAAGAGAGGATCCTGTAGGTGTCGTTACCGAGTATATGCATTTTGGCGACCTTCACGCCTTCCTTCAGGGTAAAGAACCATTTGATGATACAATTAGAAAAGGGAAAAATCAAATAAGGTAACTATTAGCTTTGATATAATTGAATATAAACTGAAAAGGTGTCAAAGCGAAAATTTCCTTTCACTTGTAATTAGTGGATTTCTTATCTGTTTGATCACGCCATCTGTCGGCTGAAAAAAAACACAGAAAAGTTGAACAAGACCAAACCTTTTAGAAAATTTATATTACCCTATCAAATTTCAAAATACTTTACAGCCTCCAGGAAAAACACTTTTGTTTCTCTTCCTTTCATATAGAAACAAAAAATTTCGTACTAATTGACATATTCTGAAAGAAAAAAGAGAAAAAAATTGAAGTAGGTTCAAAGAAAAAACTTGTATTATATACCAAAGGATCTTTTGTTTATCAACCAATGAACGGAGAATGTAGGTGGTAGTGGCTTAGAGCCTTAACAAAAATTAAAAAGGTAAAATGTGATATATTAAGAAAAAGAAGCGGAAAAGCATTTTCCATTTTGTAAAGGGATAGAAAGATGACTGCAAAAGAGAGAGAACACAGCAAAGAAAAAAAATCTAATATTAATTTATTAAACTTTGCCTTCCAACTGCTTGTTTGCTATCTTTTTGAAATATTATGGACAGGCTTAAGATTCTTTTGAAATGTTGTATCAGTTCCTTAATGGTATTTTTTAAATTGATAAGTGGCAGATACGTTAAAGCGTATGCATATTTTAAAGCCTTTAACAATGTATTTAAACAAGTTTTATGTTTAAATAAGCCAGAACAAGGCAATTTTCTTAAAAATATTAAGCAGTTTATCCACTTTATCGGTATTAAGATAATTTTAAATCCGTATTAGCTATTTATTTTGAGGTCTCTTATAAGATATAGGCTGCTGCTCTTCGTAAATATTGTCCTTGAAATTTGAACTGCATTGACCTATATTTCATAATTATTTTTCTAAAAAAGAATTTTCCTGTAAAACTGACTTATCATATACAGAAGTGTTTCTGTCATTTAATGATACTTTAAGCCTTTTGTTTTTCAAACGAGTACAGCTGCGTATTTCAGGTACTTATCAAGGCCTAACTCGAACTTTAAAGACTGTGAGGCTTAAAGTTTGGGGGTATAAGTAATTGTTTTCTCCTTTTTCTCGAGCGAGACGCTTAGAAGACCGAATCGAAATTCGATCAAGTTAAAAGAGATTTTCTTACCATTCCCTTTTAAATATACGCCTTCCCTTCCAGCATTTCCGACTTTATTTTGCTTTTTTCTTCCCTTTCTGTTATACTTTCTATACTGTCATATAATAAAAACTGGGGTGTGACTGAATTCCATCCATTAATTATCAGTTAATAGATGTCTAAATAAAGGTTAATTAGCAATGCAGTATTGCAACTAGAATTTTAATAAATTCTGTTCCTATATCTCTTCCAGTCACGGAGCACTCACGTACATGGCTACGCAAATTGCTTCGGGAATGAAATATTTAGAGTCGTTAAACTTGGTTCATCGAGACTTGGCATGCCGAAACTGTCTTGTGGGATATTACTACACAGTGAAAATATCAGATTTTGGTATGAGCCGTGGTTTATACTCAGCTGATTATTATCGAATGGAAGGTCGTGCTGTATTGCCTATTAGATGGATGGCTTGGGAAAGCATTTTACTTGTACGTAATATATTATTAATAGTAATAAGCTATAAGATAATGCTTTATTTGCTTAGGGTCGTTTCTCAAGCAAAAGTGACGTTTGGTCTTTTGGTGTTACACTTTGGGAAATTTTGACATTCGCTCGCCATCAGCCTTACGATGCATTAACTGATGAAGAAGTAATAGAAAATTGTAGCTCTTTTTATCGGGATAATCGGGAGAGAATTTACTTACCACAACCTAATAAATGCCCGAAAGAAATTTTTGATCTTATGGTCGAATGTTGGAATCGGGATGATACAATCAGACCGACATTTCGGGAGATTCATATGTTTTTGCAACGAAAGAACTCTGGTTATAACCCAAGAGACGATGATACTGTTGACTGTGAACAACAATTACCCATATTCTAGTCTTAATATAAAAAATGAAAACAATTATCGTATACCTTTTTTAAGTGTTGTATGAGTTGGTCAAAACGAACCAACGATAAAATGTACATATTGTAATTGTATAATTATATATTGTATAAGCTGTATTTAAATAGAATTTCTGTATGCAAATGACTACAATTGATCGCTATTAACATCTGTAAATTTGACCCTCATATACGAATTTTCTTCGTTATTTTTCGTGTCTAATTTAAAATGGTCGTAAGGACAAACTGGGCGTCTATTAAACCCATAATGAGCTTCTTCGCCGCAAACGTCCGGAGCCTGTTCAGCAGATGGCGCTGGTATACGAACAACGGTGCAAGAACCGTCTTTAAGGATGATCTCTTCGTATTCCTTTTTGGGATTGAGCGTCAGGAAGCAAGATTTATCTTCGCCATTGTTGTAGTGATAATGATGAACCATCGTTTCGTTAGAACGATTCCGCCTCTTAAAACGCCTAATTGAAGTTAGGAAACAGTTAGAGAAGATCACAGAGAATGAGTGAGAGAGGACGAGAAAGCGACAGTAAGAGACATATATATAGAGAGAAAGGAAGCGAGAGAGAGAGAGAGACGCAGAGAAAAAAGAAAGAAAGTCGATAATAAATGGATTAAAGGGTTTGAAAAGGGCCAATAGAAAACTCACTTTTTCAACACGTATAAAACACCCAAAGGCAATATAAACGCTATAACAAGCCCTATCGATACTGCAGCGATAAGAGATGCTGTAAATGAAAAAAATTATAGAATAAAAAAATACCGGAAGGAAGGATTATATAAAATCGCCATATAAGTATTTTATCTCTTTGTATATCTAAAATTGTTGGGAACTAGTTCGATAGCCCCAGCCGTCTTAAGTAATTAGATTTTGATCTTATACGTACGAGGAACGGACGGTTGGTTTGGATTAATGAATTTTCCATCGGAAGAAGAGGGATGTGAGCAGTTGATCGGTGCTGTTCCTCGCCATTCCCTACCAACACATGTTAATTCCCATTCCTCTTCTTTTCCATGGTCACATTTTAACTTGGCCATTTGGCCAGCGGAGGTTATCTCGTATGTTGCGTGACGTGGAATTGGAGGAGAACCGCAGCCTAGAACTGTAATATAACACGAAAAATGAATGGACGGATATAAAGAGAGATGTGCGCTACTAAGAGTTTCTCACCTTCATAATGGAGAATTAAAGATGCATGGGAATATTGTAGCTCAAGACGGATTTGACTAGATTTGAAAACGAACACTTGCTTGTTTATATCGCCCCTTTTACACAATGGCTCTACACTCGAATCAGATTGAAAGACTCTCGGAGACTGTTCACAGTCAAGATCGGTTCTTGATCGATAAACAGATAGTTTCATTCCAGTACCCCCTTTTCTGCCTAATTTTACTTTGCAAAATCGGTTTCTTTGCCTTCGATTAGGATTCCAAGAGAGCCAACCCTCGCTTAACGATCCCTTCATAGAACAGTTAGAGTCTAGAGACGTCACTAAGATTTAATTACGAAAAGATAAGAATTGCCTGTGAGAATGATTATATATCGTAATCTCTACGATTTACTTACGACGAACGCAAAGGAAGTCTATTGTGAGTAAATTTTTTAAATTCTTATTGCAGGCGTTTTTTCCTTCTAATTTGCTCAGGAGCGAAGCCGGAAACTTGCAGGACGATTTTCCTTTTATTACACATATTTTTTATTCTTTGAGTTAGGCTTGTATATTATACTCTTTTTTTTTTACAATAGCTTACCTGAACATTTTTCATGCAAGTAATCGGTGACGTCTATTCCACATCCAATGTGACCAAAGTTCACTGTAACGCAAATCTGGTCAACAATTTTCCTTCCAAAATCGGCTCCCTCTATTACTATAATCTCGCTCTGAGGACAGGATAATTCTACAGAATCCCCTTCGCAAACCTTCTTACGCTCTAGACAAATAACAGACGTTTTCAGCATATTACTATCTCATTTATAAATATACTATATATTATAATATATATATATAGATATATATATCTACGTATTTAGCCGACAGCAACGTCGAGAACATTCCAAATATGCACAGGAAGTCAATTAGGCGAGTGCTAAATACGAGAGACGCCGCAGGTGCGCCGACGTCTACCGATAAACCCTTGTCGTCTCTTCGTATTTTTTTTTTTTAATTTAAAAATAACCCTTTTTTCCAATCTTTTAGCTCCTTATTTAAAAGGTTGGAAGCGGAAGGTAGTCCCTAGGGATATCACTTAATCATAGTATTATACTAACAAGTAAATACTATTTAGTGATATATAAGCAATCAAGGGCATGTTCGAGATTCTTAATTTTTTATTTTGAGAAATATACGCCTAATCCTTTTCAATAATGAAACACATGAAAGTGTAGTCTTTTACATATGTAGTTAGTTTGTCTATTTTATCCATATACATACAGACTACATACGCGTGTCGTCTTAATGCATACCGATCAATGTTCTTTCCTTTCGCTGCTTTGTAGGGCGGCGTTATTACGTGATTAATGAACGTTTACATCGTTAAGTCGAATATTAGAAGTACATGATATAAGCCTATTACCATGCGCCGTATACGAATAGCAGGTGCGAAAGAGAAAACGTTGAAACACCTGAGTCGAGCGCCTTTTTAATCCTCTTTATGAAAGTGAGGAAAAGAAAAAAAGCAAAAAGAGAAAAGGGAGCAAGGGGGAGGTCGGAAGGACAAAATGAGGTAGAAGGTTTAGTGAAAGAGAACTGAGGAAGAAGGGAGTAAGTGGAAAAGGAGAAAAAAAGAATTGTAAAAGGAGAGCAAAAGGGAAGAAAATTGGGTTGTTCGAGGAAATAAAGGGCATAAGGTCATAATATCAAAAGTGAAAAAATTTCTACTGCAACGACGCACCTGCAACGGTGCATAGAATAACGTGCCGTCGTTAGTAAATATTAAAAAAAAATACTTTATCAGAATTGCAAAAATTACCTGCAAATAGGCAGACGAAAAGTAGACAGAAAACTTTGCCAAAATACAATTTATTTCCGTTCATTACTCGTCCCGCTCTGTATAGATTTCTTCTTCTTCTTCTTCTCTCTCTCTCTCACTCTATTCTTCCTCTTTTTTGTCTACTTCCCGTTTCCACCTAGCTATCCCTACTCTTGTCTACACCTTTCTTTAGTTTGGCTATCCTTTCTACAATAACTATTATTTGCGTTCTATCTACTTAAAGCTATCCTCCCTTTCGTAATTTGTCCTACTATTTTCACCTCCTTCACCCTAGATTTCTTATTTCCTTTTTCTTGCGAGTCTTTTCGTTTGTTGCCTCTTCGCCCACACGAGCGTTCTTTGCGGATGCCGTTGCTATTATAATCTTCTATCAACTATCCAAAAATAGTAGCTTTTACAATTAAAGTAAACTTTTTATCTTGTTTCCATCTTCTGTGTTATTAAAGTTTTTCATCGTTCATCGACGGCTTGCCTTGGAAAAATGTGCTCAATTGAAAAGTTCTATACATATCTAGATGGCGCTGTAATACTAAGGACAAGGGCCAATATGAATAATAGAAAGAATATGAGATGCGTGTTAGTGGACTTGTTATTGTCACTGATTGTTCCCGTCTCGCTAATTATGCATATGCTCCGCTACCGTGTACATTATATTAATGGCGTTTGCGAAACATTTGTCTCTCATTCCATACCTTTCTACTGAGTTTGCCTTATTTTCTTTATTTATGTTTCCGTTTCTATTCTTACGTCCTCAACATATTAATATCTATAATGTCATCAAGGATAATATTCGGCTACCAGAAGACGTGACAAACATATTTAGCGAAAATAAAATAAAAAACACGTGACATGTGTAGCTTCCTCCTTCCGGTAAAAATTACTATATTGCATCGTCAACCGCAAATACGAACTTATTATATATATTGGGAAAATATTGCCATTTACGACATCCGTTTTTATTTTTTTCTCTGTAGTCTCTCTCTTTTCGTCGAGACGAGTTGATTTGTTTGATTTCACTAGTAAAAGGAATCGGCTTTTAAAAGTGTTCTAACAGACGTCAACCTACTACAAAAACTGTCAAACGCCGTTAAACTCAATAACGTAAATTTTCTGCAGTAGCGCAAATGTACAAACAAATCGACCGATGGAATATCTATAAAAAAGGTTGTTTGCCGAGGAGGAGTCTATCGTTCGAACTTAATGAACGCCTATATATTGAGTAGTGATTCTATACGGGCAGCCCTTATAGATGACGGTGAAGGCGTCTAATAAAAGGCTAGTAATATCGCTATCTTAAACCGATAGCGTGTTCATATTACTATTAGTCTAAGACGCTTGATAAAAGCGCTTGTTTGCCATGAATTATTTATATGCAAAGTACAGCGGATAATGTGTTTACAGGCGGCTGTTAATTACTATCTTTTTTCCATTAGCTTTGACAAACTCATTCTTTTTTATTATTTGCACTCGATTCTAATGAAAATGAAAATGAAAATATGTGTATAGAATCCCTTCTTCGTATTCTTTTCGCCTTCTTTACGACGTCAAAATGTACATTAAAATATTTTGTACACAAGCCTATATATACACTTTAGTCATATTCCTTTTACATTTTCATTACTCTCTACACGGCTTAAGACAACTTTTTAGTCGTCATTCAAGATTGTTTAAATTATTAACATTTTCCTTTTTTTGCATTATAATATAGACATTTACGTAGGCTGAATTATTTAGCTTTTTTATTTTAATAAACCATTATAAATCAAAAAAAAAAAAGTAGTCGTCTAGTCTATGTTTTATCCTTGATATTTATACTTTGCATTTATATATCCTGTATTTATATTTAAATATATGTCAATAAATATATTATCGCCTGTCTCATTCTCATTTTTTACCTCCTACACTAACGTAATATACATTTACTTCTATATATTAATATATATATTTATTAATACGAAATACGGTGTCTATGATATATATGTATATAGTGATATTTACATCAATATATTCATAATAATAGATTAAAATATATACGATAGATGGCACCATCCGTCTCTGATTATTCTCCAACAGAGATATTGTTGGCAAAATAAACTAAGCTGTAATTTACTATTCAGACCAACTAATCCGGACTATAATCCAAGTCAATCGAGCAATAAAAGGGCATTAAAAGATTATGGGAAACGGACTCTTTTCATAGCTTACACATCGTCAGCCTCGTTTAGTCATTTATTATAATAAGAGATAATAGAAGGTATGCAAAGAAAGAAAGACATGAAAAGAAACTATAATAGAATACAGGAGTTAATCGCCAAGGTGTCACGCCTTATAGCCTCAAATAAGAGAATTTTGATACTAATAAGTATGTACAGCTATATATATATATATATATATATATATATATATATATATATATATATATAAAGTTATAAATATAGCATATAAAGATATATTTATCTATACTGTATAGACGCTTATACATGTATATATAAATGTTGGATATATGCTGTCTATCTGTACAACCATACATATATATATATATATATATAGTTGAACACACATTGACAATTTTGGAAAGTTTGTAATCTCTTATCGACTAAGTTTGTATTGTTACTCATTGTGAATTTTGTTTGTTCAATTGATGCTATTGTTTGTCGATTGATTTGTCCATGTTTTTTTTATATAAAAACGTCTTTTGGAATGTATTCCACTAGCGATTAATGGCTTTTTTAAGGCCAACTTATCAAAGTCAGTATTTATTATTTCTCAAAAGGTGGCGTTGTATAGAGTTGAAAAGAAAGTAAAACACGTTATGTAGCTCCAACCGCTATTAACTTCTATAACTTCTGATAAAGTTAAATAAATCAAAAACTAATAAATCTATGTGAAAAATTATTTTAACGTTTAATTATGATTTACCGTCGAAGGCACAATAATCCAGTTCCCAAAATCGATGCGCTAAGCATTAAAGAAACTACGATAATCGTTATTATCCAAAAACCTATTTTGTAGTAATTATATATTGTATAGTTTAATTGTTAAAAGTTATTAATGTATTTGTTTACCATATGGCATTGTAGCCACGCCCCACTTAACTGGTTGCATAAATCCTCTGGACCCTGTTCAAAATGTACAAGGTTTATTTGAAATTTAGACACTATTAAAACATTCTCTTTCTTTGTTGATTAACTATATATTTATATATTTCAAATCTATATAGACACACCTCTGCAATGTGTATCTTTGGTTAGTTAGGTAATTTAAATACCTGGATTTTGCACAGAGCAAGCAACATCACTTTTTATAATTTCGAACCATTTTCCATTGTCTTTACAGCTTATTTCCCTAGTCACCCGCTTCTCTTGCTTACATATAATTTTAATAAGCGTATCACTTTCATATCTAATTTCTTCTCCAGGTTCAGCTCGTACGTTTGGTTTGGCGCACCCTATGACTGTAAAAAATAAGAAGTCTAATTACAGAGCTCTCTTCTTTCAAAGATTAAATATGAATAGAAGAAAGTATACACATCATACTTTGATAAGAGAGTAATATGGGTGAGTAAGAATTGTAATAGAGGAAAACGTGTAAAAGACTCTTCTTCGATACGTAAATCGGCTGGTTTGCTTTGTTTGATCTGCAAATGGACTTGGGCGGTCTACCGCTTTCTACAACTTTAACGATTTCTTGGCAAGATCCGAGCGAAGTGGTTGTATTAAATTGGCGCAAATAAAGTTGAACTTTCTGACCGGGAAGAGCCGTAATTCTCCAAGGATTGCTTATCCGGCATTTGGAATCGGTTGGATAGACGTTCGATATATTACCGACTTTCGACGAAAGATTTACAGGGTTTGAATCGGATGAGCAAGAAGATGATGACGGTAGAATTACTGTTAATAATTAGAAAAGGCTATCAGATGACATATTTTACTTATTAAAAAATCCATAACTTTTAATTAATTTCAATGATATTATATATAGAAAGAGAAAGAAGAAAGAAAGAAAAGAGAAAAATCAATATAAATTGTTTTTAGTAACAATATTGTAAAAATACTGTTTACCAATTATTTCTCTTTTGTGAAAAATTCGACTTTTTATACTCAAATTAACTAAAAAAGTCAAATATAATAAAAACAAGAATAAAGATTCTTTACTATCACATATTCTTATCAAATATTACCTTTTCTGCATGTATATTCGACGTGTAAATAAGATCTTAAATCTTTCCTCTCGCACGGATAAATGCTAACGACCAAAGTGGCGAGGTCGAACGAGCACTGTAGTCTTCCATTGCAATGGGACTCCAGTTTATATAGTATATTTTTTGAACAACCAACTTCATCAGCACTAGTTCCACAAACTCCTTCCTTCATCCGTCCATATCTAGCCGATTCCAACCAGATAACGGAATTTGCGCACGAAGCCGTAAAAGTCTTATCGTGCTCGCAGACGTCTTCATTTCATAGGTGGATTGAAGAAGGGCACAAGAGAAAAACAAGTATATGCATTAGGTTAAATTGTCTTCGATTTGTTATACTATAGGTTTTTTAATCTAATCCAGCCCAATCAAGATAAAAGCGCGTCACTTTTTCAATATGCGTGCACAAAGATCGGCCGACGCTCTAGAGACGCTTAAGCCATAAGTAACGCTTGTGGTTTTCGCCCCTCTTTCCCCTGCCGTTCTTTTTTAATACTTTTTACAGTTAGTATCTCTCTCCCTTGTTTTCCTTCTCATTTTTTTTTACTAACGACATGCAATATAAAAATATACATGTAGTGACTCTAATGCGTCGCGCAAGGCGTTTCCGAAGTTAGCGGAAGTAACGCTCTTTTGTGACGCTACACTACCAATCTGCATGATGGACTGACCAGCGGCTATCTTGAATGTAAATTAGAGCGAAAAGCCAGAAGGCTTATAAATGAAACTATACTGGTGTGGGATCGGAGAAAGGATAAAACGATTTATCTGGCCGCGTTTGGTAAAATACTTTACTCCGCCAAACATAACGAAATAAACCATTTTATAAGAAAAGGGAAAGAAATACGCATAACAAATACATTTATCGGTCTATCAATCCGTAACAAAGTTTTTTAGAATTACCTTTTGAATATCTCGTAGATACAACCAAGTAGAACAAGAAAGAACTGTAGAATAGCCGAACGTTGCAGTACCACTTTGCTGTAGTCATGTCAGAGCGTATTTGAGCGTACTTGAATAATCCGCGACCGCAAAAGATTTTTTTCGAGCGCCAAAGCGGTAACGCGTCGTGATGTGAAAATCGTCTACTGCATTTTGCAGTGTAAAAGAACTTTGACAGTGCGCAACTTCCGTTACAGCTGTACCGTCGATTTCCTACCAGAATGGATCAAAATATTGTAGACTTAAGAGTCAGCGGTAGCTTCCTTTAAATTTCAGGGTATAAAAAAGAAGATTACAATCCCATTCTGCAGATTCTATACACCTCATCACGCTAATTCATCAGGCTAATTGCCCTACCAGTTATTTTTTTAGTGAATAGCGATCTTGAATAATTGATTCAGTCTAATTTTTTCAGTTTAGGAACATTTACGTCTTTTTATAGAACGAAACGTCGTCCCGATATACAGGGAGAACAAGTCAATTGGGATTTCACCAAGAAGCGTCATCGATCAACTTAACGTCTGTCATCTAGCAACGCCCCTTTAGCTCTAAACTGAAAAAATGCTGAAAAATATGTAGATTTTATTCGGGATAGAACTGCTCAGGGTTTATCAGAAGCGCGAAAATGTTTCTATATTGTTAAATCAACACAGGATACGGAAGAACATAGGAAAAAGCCCGCGAAAATTTAAAAGAGAGAAAAATCAAGTTGATGAAATAACTTTTCAAGCACGTGATAATATTCGTGACCCCATAGATGGCGTTGTTGGCAACAAATACACAAAGAGTATATTTCTGTTCAATACTGTGACTGGCATGCCTGAGTTGATCCAACTAAATCTAGGCCTAGAAATAGGCAGTTAATTAGGGTTGCGCAAATACGGTGAGTAGCTTAGCGTATTTATTTGCGTTAGGTGATAAGGTGAACCTCCCTCGCGAAAGAGTTCCAAAGTTGTTTGTATTAGAAGACAAACTATAGAATACAATAGGAATTTGTGCGTATCAAACAATAAATACGTTATCTCTTTTTTCTCTTATATTTCTGTTTTCTTTTTCTTATTTTTCTATATTGTATAGCATTTGTTGTCCGTTAGTCTTGTCTATTCATCTGTGTTTTATTAGTATGTTTGTCTATCTCTTTTCATTCTTGCCTTATGCCTGTTTTTCTTTCTCTAATTGTAATTTTTACTAAATAAGGGTTAATCGTAAAGGCGCCTTACGACTCTCGTTTTTTTACCCTCCAGCCCTTATGCCCTTCCTTCCTATTGAGGAATACTCGAGCGGATTAGTTGAAGTGCTGTAGGTTATTTAAGAGGGTGGTAGGAGTGAGGCCGCCGGCGACGATTTTCGAGCGTCATCTGGCGTAGAAAGCCTATAAAACGTCTAGATGGCGGGGAATTAATGCATATTCATAAGTTCAGTTAATGATCTTGCCAGAAAGCAGCATGGCAGCTGACCGGGACGACGGCTGGATGCCGAAAAGGTCGCGGAGGAAGGCGGTAATCCTCGTCGCAATTCTGTTTATCCTCCTCGTCCTGTTGGATATCGGCCGGATTCTGGAAGGGATAACATCGCTGCTCACGCCTATACTCGCCTCTACGGCCGTTTTCTACGTGCTAACTCTCTATTTAAGTTCGTCTTGGAACACTCCAACGAGCTACTTTGTTATATCTTCCTGCATCGTAGGCGAAATCTTCAATTCAACGTTCTTCGACAGAGGAAATGGATTAAGCATTCAGTTCCTGTTAACTGTTTTAATCTGCTTATCCATCAGCCTTTTTTTCTCGAATTTGGATAAGACGCAAGCAACCTGCGTTATTTTTTCAGTTTCGGCCGTCCGATTCGTCTGCTGCACCTCCTTCCCTATTTGGCAATTAGCCCCTTTTTTAGCTTATACTTGTGCGTTTATCGGAACGATAGCCGCCAAAAGAACCGAGGCATCACTAACTTCTGCAAATGAAGATGCTATTGCTAGTGCAGTTGCGGCTGCATCCGCTGCCGATTACTCTTTTTATGGTGAACAGTCGCTCAAGACTCCCAGTATAAAGCGACGAATTTCCGCTTCCGGCTTCTTCAACGTCCCTTTCTCTCAGCGTGTTGGTAGGAGAACAAGCCTTCCGGCAATGATCCAAAAACCTCATCAGGTGAGCAATGCATTGGCTTTTCAAACACTATTATTCGATATATGTCCTCGCCAACCCTTTACACCTATGGCTTTGCTACCTCGATTACCTTTTTACCTCTTTGAATCTTTTTTTGGATTGAGCAAACGTGGCGGTGACGTCAAAGCTAGAGTATTACGCGAAAAAGGATGTCACGAGGAAAGAGGCGTTACTATAGCGACAAGAGGCGTCTACTAGCGTAATGCGTACATTGACGCTCGCGCTGAGATTTTTCTTACAGAGACAGGCAGCGTTTCTGCTGTTAAAACGAGCCGGGTGACTATATAAACTAGTGCGTGCATTATTAACATGTCGTGTCACCTGGTTTCTGCTTTCCAAATATCTTTTCTATAGTTATTATTATCTTCATCATAATTTATGCTTCTATTAGCAGTGAAGAGTTGCTTTGCACTTTTTTTTAATTAAAAAACAAAAAACTTCGCGACAAATGAGATTTTCATAATAATTACTATGGCGCCACCTGTAAATTTTATTAGTGATTATCCAAGAAGAACTTTACGGCTCTTAACGAAAAAAAGGTTTCTTCCGCTCGATAGCTCGAAGCGCTTTCAGCGAACAATTTTATATAAATACACAAACATACGGCCGAAAGCTCGTCCGTAAATTTGCATAGTATCGAATAACGGTAACTCGTGCAGGCCTGTATAAAAAAAAAGAGACTACGAGAAGAAGAATGAGAATGAGAATACGAATGAGAATAAAATGGAAAGAGAAAAAAATATGATAAAAAGGAAGGAGATTGAAAGACGAGAGAACTAGAAAAGACAATTGAAAGGGCAAGATAAATTCTGCATGAGATTTGGAAAAGTGACGTCAATTAGAATTTTATTTTAAAGATCGGATGAGGAGGATACTAGATATGGGAAAGGCAAAAGGGCACGAAATTCCTCTTTTTTATTCTGTTTGGTTAGAAAGAAGAAGGGAAGAGACGAAGGGTAGTAGGAAAAATTGCCCACCGCCCTTTCCATCAACTTCTAAAGCCCTGTAATTAGAATGATCACGTCACAAAATGGCCTCGAGCATACTGACGTCAAAGTCTGCTCTCCTTCACAGCTTTTTCGAAGCCATAAAAAAACCGTTTTTCGAGCGCTGAAACGTGCGGCTGTGATAACGCTTAAAAGTCGTAAATCGAATATAGCCTTTTTATCGGTTCGCTGAAAAATAAATAAAAGGAAGGGAGTCGGCAGTAACAATCAAAAATAAGTATATAAGTTAGGGAAAGAGAAAAAAAGGAATTGATAATCTAGTAAGTCAACGCCATCTGGCGACGATTAAGTTCAAACCTCCAAATTGTTTTTAATAACTCTAGGAAAAGCTAAGTCTACTAGCTATCCACTGAAGGGTCTCGACCGCTGAAGCGTCTAATTGGGATGGACGGACACGGCAGACATTTCCACCAGACCGACGCTTTGCTAATTAACTCAGTGACGGCGGAAACGCTGTCCTCGAGGAAATGACGTCGGCGTTGCGGTTTTGCTGTAGGCCTTCCAGTTGCTATTGTTAATGTTGGCTTTAGCAGACGGCCGACTCGGATTACTCGTTAGAGTTGTATTCATTTCATGAGATCATGGCGAACGTGTCGTATAAACGAACGCTAAGTTCACCATGTCCCCTTTGTATCAAGGTTTGACTAGATTATTTCATATCAAAAAGTTATATAATGGTATTTTTATAAGTATAGGACTATGTAGGAAAATATATTATATTTTTTTGTTGTTGAGAATAAGCTAATAAAACTTATATGAGAGTGTAAGATCCGCAAAATGTACTGGTGTAAATGTTTATACTGAAAAGAGCCTAAAATACTCTATTACGTTTGTTATATATAATTTTACGAAAGAGATCAACTTGTAGTATGTCATTAATAGCAAAGTAAAAAACGTATAATCTCCTTAGTTGTTTTTTTTTCTATTTATCTCTCTATCTCTCTCTCTTCAGCCCCCTCCCTCCCCCCTCCTCTTCTCCTTCCTCTTTTTCTCTTTTTTTTTTTCTCTATCTGTTTTTCCTCCTCTGTTTCTCTCACTCTCTCTTACCTTCCTTTTATCTTTAGTTTTTTTTGTTCCGTAAACATCTTTCTCTTCTATTCACTAGTATTTTCCCTTTGTCTTTTTTTTTTTATACTATATATTTATAATTTAGGTTAATAACAAAATAAGCCTGAAAAAATTATTATTACTATGATTATTAATGGTATTATTATTATTATAATAGGCTTTTTATTTGCGCTATAGCTAATAATTGTATAAGAAAAATTTATATGGAAGATTAAAAAGATACAAGGAAATATTGAAAATAGAACTCATTACTAGTTTAAATCTTTTGGGAGTAAACAGGCGTTTAATTTTCAATTGAGCATGTTTTTTCCCTCGTGGCATCTTTTCTAGCTTTGTAAAGAAAAAAAAAAGAGGCAAAAAGGAAACAGTAGAGAGGATAAATTTTTATATAAAAAAAGTAGTCTTATGACATCAAGCCTTTAAATATGTTGAACATAAACAGGATAAATCTTTACTATAATACATAAAAGGAGTAAGCACGTGACGAAGGAAAAAAAGACGAATGATTAATAATACGCCCCCTTCTTTTTCTTTATTTCGCAGTCTTCACCGAATTCGTATGAATCCGCTATAATTTCCGAGGCACACGGATTAGTGTCGGATATGTTGGCCGATACTACGCTGCCTCCCAATGTCGTGTCTGGACTAAAGGCCATCTCAAGTCTTTTAAAGCCGGCTGATAATCTTGCTAATTCTTCACTGCAACGTCCCCGAAATTTTCATAATTTGGTGAATCTAAATGACGTTGGCTCAGAATGCGACCAAGATTTGCCTTACACAGGAGAACGACCTAGTTCTTTGCCTAAGGTACCAATTTACATAAAGACTAACTAATTAATTAATTCCTTTTTTGTTTTTAAGCAGAGACTTCGTCGAAGCTTACCCCAGTCTATAATGAGACGAATGTCATCTTCTACATGGACAACAACAACTTCTGCTACTGGTATGCCCACCCTGGAAGCAGAACCATGTCGAACTAGAAGTGCTTCTATAAGAAACATAGGGCATGATTCGACGCCTGTTGTAACTCCTCTTCAATCAAATTCTCCTTCGCCTTCATCGCCTAATTCGGCTATTTCGCTCGTTATACCAAAAACTCGTTCTCACTCATTAATGAGCGTTTCTCGCAAATCTAGCAGACGAGACACGACTCAACCTTTATACAGAAGACTTAATATTACTTCAGATTACGAGAGTAGTGAATCTCCCGGCTCAAGCGATCAAAGCGATCACGCTGCTCAAACAACTACTGTTGGAACATCTGTTGCTGTTCAAGAAGACGAGGACGAAGATGTCTTATTAGCGTTTGACGTTGCCGAGTGTGAAAGAGAGCCAATACTACAATCCCATCGTATCTGTGAGTGGGATTATCCGATTTTCGAAATGGCCGATCTCTTTTCAGATACTATCCTTAGTAGGGTAAATATTTCCATTGATTTCCGATATTTATTATGTACTTAGCGTTTGCAAGGAGAATGAATAACTGAATTAAATCCCGACAGATGGCATATAGAATATTTTCCGAAACTGGTTTAATGGAAACGTTCAAGATACCAATTGAAGAGTTCCTTAATTACTTCCATACCCTAGAACTTGGTTACCAAGATAAACCATGTATGCACTTAAAGAATTACTTTTTTTTTTACTTGACAAATAAATAACTGACAAAAAGTAAAAGGAATTATTTTTGCTCTTCCTTCCCAAAGCTCTGCTTCCTTCTCGAATATTTATAACCTTTTAGTAATGAGCTTTTCCGTTTTGCAGACCACAATAGAATACATGCATCCGACGTTCTGCACGCTGTATACTATTTAACCACTCAGGTTCGATATAAAATTACGATAATTTCCCTTATTACACTTCTATTTATATGTATACTTCAGCACATTCCCGGCTTCGTTCAAATCGAATCCAATTCTACAGGTACTATTTTATACTCAATCTAACTAAAATAAAAAAAAATAGCCCAAAGTCTTGTAAAAGAAAACTTTAAAGTGGCAAGTTACTGACGATTTCTTTTCAGGCGAGAATACTCAGCGAATGAACTTGGCGAATACTGAAGAGAGTTATGGCATAATGGGTAACAATTTCGCCCCATTAGAACTTATGGCCTTGTACACCGCGGCCGCTATGCATGATTACGATCATCCTGGAAGGACAAACGCTTTTCTAGTTGCTACTTACGATGAAAAGGTTAAATATTGATTTAAAGAAGAAATAATCGATCATAAATGCATTAATAACATAAAAAATTGATTGTAGGCTGTTCTGTATAACGACCGTTCAGTATTAGAAAATTATCATGCCGCTGCCGCTTGGAAATTGCTCATGTCTAGACCAGACTTCAACTGGTTGAGAGGTTTGGACAAGGCAGAATTTAGGAGATTCCGTTTCTTAGTTGTTGAAGCTATCCTAGCAACAGATTTAAAGAGGCATTTCGAGATTATAGCTGAGTTTAATTCAAAGGTAATATAATACATAAAAACCTACATTTGGCAATATAAACAACTTTTGCAGCAATAATATCGATATAAATAACACACTTACTTTTAGTTAGCTTTCTTATACAACAACAAATGTTGTATTTGATGATGTATGTTAACGCCATCTAGTTATGTAGTAATATGCACTCAATTAACGTAATTCCTCTATTTTTAGGTCAACGATGATGACGCGCCTGGATTTGATTGGCATAGTGAAACAGACAGGGTTATGATTTCTAATATGTTGATAAAAATAGCTGATATAAATGGTCCATGCAAATCGGAATATCTACACAAACGTTGGACGAAGAACATTACTCAAGAATTTTACGAACAAGGTGACGAAGAGTCTCAATTGGGTATGGTCATTTCTCCTTTTATGGATCGTAAAAATCCTCAGCTGGCTAAGCTACAAGAGTCGTTCATAAATCATTTGGTTGCTCCCCTATGTAACGCTTTGGGAAAAGCTGGATTATTACCAGGATCCTGGGATGAAAATGAATCAGGTATAATTGACTAAAAAAAAGAATTGAATTAATCTTTAAGCAAAGAACTGCCCTTTCAATTAACTTTCTATTCAATATCTTTTTTTCTCATTATAAGACTTTTTTCGCTTCAATAGATGAAAACGACGAAAGAGAAGAACAAAATGAAAAAAATTCTAAAGAAAGTAAGTAAATTACCTGCAGATATGCGTCGACGCTTAGATAAATAATTACATATAGAATTGTTAAAACTAACTATAAAGTTACCTTTCATTTCCACCTATTTTCGTCAACAGATGAAGAGAGGAAATTAAAAAATGTTCGTTGTTGGTTAACAAAACATCTAAAAGAAAATCATGAGATGTGGGTGAATGTCCTAAAAAAGGAACAGGAAAATGATAGAGAGTCAGAGGTTAATATATTATAATAAACGTTCATCTATTTAGATTTTTATATATATACTGTATATATTCTATTTTAATTGATATAAATTAAAACATTTGCTTTTCTCTTGCAGGAAATCAAGCGTGAAATGGAACCAATTAGGGAGGAAGATACTCCACCTCAAAGCGTCAACCAAATCAAGACACATTAATCACAGAAAAAAGAGAAAATATTGAGGAAACAATTTTGTTGAATTAACTCTAACATACATCATTACTTTAATATACTGTACATTTGAATCTGTACATATATATATATATATGTATGTATGTATGTATGTATGTATATGTATATGTATACATTTAACGTGTGTCTATTATAAATGTACATGCATATGAATATGTATATTTTACTTTATACAAGATTTGTTAAGGAGCGAAGTTGAGCCAAGATTTTAAGCATTCCCCTCCGTGCCATATTTGTATATTGCAGTATTGTATAGACAAAAAGACTGCAAAATTTTATCTTACTTTGTTGTTTGTGTTGAAGTGAGAAAGACAAAAATAATTAAATGTTACGTCAAACTTTGTTACTCATAAATTATTGAAATTAGCCGACCAACCAGCTTCGAGTACCACAGAAATCTTTTAAACCATTTACCTATTATCAGCCATGCGGAGTATTAAACATATATTGCTCCTTTTCTTTTTCTCAGCGGCTAGTTCTAAAAACTTCAAATTAGGATTAATTTGTCCAAAAATCCATTCCCGTGTTGGCTTTGGTGTGACAGCATCTGCGGCTACTGATGCTGTAAGAGATATTCAAAGAAAAGGACTTTTAGTGAATCACACATTAACAATTCTTTATAGAAATGATTTGTGTAATCCGGTAAATGGCTCTGGACAGACAGTTGCATACTTTGAAGAAGATTTAGTCGATGTTCTGATTGGCTCCCCTTGTTCAGCCTGTAAGTCTTAGTTATTAAACTTAGAGTAAAATATTAATGACGTTTTTTTAAAGGTAAAAGCTTAAAACCCTTTATTTACATGCTTGTTAGGGAAATATTTAATAAATCTTCATAATTTAATTAACCTATTTTATTAATAATCAGCGGCTTTAGGAGTTGGATATTTAGCATCATTTTATGACATACCAATGTTTTCTCACGGAGCAACCGATCCAGCCCTTAGCAATAAGAATGTAATTTCCTATTAATATGAGTTATCCATACAAATCATATATTCTCTTTTTTCCTCTAAATCTACAGATATTTAAAACCCTAATCAGAGTTAGCCCAACTTTTAACAAAATGGGCGCAGCTATTGTTGAATTGGTAAGATATTTCGGTTGGAAGCAGGTGGTTATGATATCAAGACTAAGAGAAGGAAACAGTTTGGTTTTTTGTGATTATGCCTCAAGATCCGTTGAAGAAAAATTCCGACAGCATCGCTTAATAATCTCTGACTGGATTAAAGTTGAAGGCAGTTTAACAAATTCGGAAATACACGAAATATTAACAAGGATAAAGCTTCGGGGTAGAAGTAAGTTCCTATTACAATAGTATTTACCATTCCCTTTGCCCTATGCCAAATAGAAATTTATTCAATTAACTTTTCGATCAGTTATCGTACTCTGTATTGAAGAAACTGATGAAGTAAACTTTCTCAGACTCGCCAGACGAAATGGCATGACAAAACCAAATTATGTATATTTCACACTGAAACATATGCCACCGGAGAATTACGAAAAACCATGGCAACCTGCTACAGATAGAGAAGTGATACAAGCTTATGAAGCAGTTTTAATGGTGAGGTATTTTCTAAATAGAAGAACAAATGAGTTAGTAATTATGTCAATTCTTAAAGATAATGGTCGCTTCATTTGTCGGCTCAGATTTAATGGCTTTCAGAAAAGAATTACCATATAGAATGCTGGAAGCTCCTTGGTTTTATAATCAAACGTTAGAAGAGGGTAAAATTGTGAGTTTAGATTAAGAGGTCATTTTAAGCTTCTTAAAACGTCTTTATATTTAATAGGGATCGGTCTACTCCCTCCTATTATACGACACAATTTGGGCATATGCTTTAACTTTGGACTTGGCCTTGAACAAATCTCTGAAGTATCGAAGTGGAAAAGTAATGTTTAGTTTGGCAACGAAAATAATTTTTAATAGCCTAACTGGCGCTGTAACGTTTGATGAAAACGGTGACCGTCATCCGAACTACTGGTTATGGCGGATGAACGAGAATCAAACAAAAATGGAATTATGGACGGAAGTACGTATGATAAACCCAGAAAATGAGCGAATTAATTTTGAGATGCCAGCCCTGTGGGGTACAAGTGACGGTAAACCGCCTCCAGACGTCCCGGTTTGCGGGTTTTTAAATGAACTATGTCCAGATGATTTGTCTAGTCGGACGTATGCAATAATTGGGGGAATATGTGCACTCGTTCTACTAATAATTATGACTGTATCTCTGATACTAGCCTGGAAAAAGCGGAGAGCCGAAGAGCAAATAAAAAGTATGCTTTGGAAGATTGACATTGACCAAATTGAGTGGATTAGATCAAATAAATCCAAGAGTAAACTATCTTTGAAGAGTGTTCGCTCCTTAACTGATATGGACCAAACTGAACACGTTGGAATCGAGCTCATTAATTCTGGGCATAATATTGCCTACCACAGGGGAACTTTGGTGTCGGCAGAAGTTATCAAAATTTCAACCAGCTGCGCGCTAAATCGAGGAGAGCTTGTAGAGCTAAACCAGGTATATATATAGTATATAAAAATATGAAATCGAAAGGGTGGTATATTGTAACACATATGAGAAAGTTCATTGAAAAAAGTATTATTACCTTGTTTTATCTTTTAGTTTCCTAAGTTTCCTTTAATGTCTTTCTCTACTTCCTCTATATTTGAAATACCAGATAGTTTTAAAGCTTCCTTTACAGCTCCGACAACTGCAACATGAGAACGTAGTTCATTTTCTAGGCGCTTCTCTTGAGGCACCTACTGCCGTAATATTAACAGCCCATTGTTCTCGAGGTTCTTTACAAGATATTCTTGGCAATGATCAAATCAACATAGACTGGATGTTTAAAGTGTCACTAATGACAGATTTAGCAAATGGCCTACATTATATCCATACATCTCCTTTAATTAATCATGGGGGGTTGCAAACGGACTGTTGCGTTGTTGATAATAGATGGGTATTGAAAGTGGGAAATATTGGCCTGAGATTTATAAGGCGATTTAACATTTCGGATTTACAGCTTTCTAAGGGTAAAAAAAGAATTTAATTGGTTATACAAAGTAATGACAAGCGTAAAAAAATATATCTTCTCTCGCTTTGTAGATAAACTGTGGCAAGCACCGGAGATTTTGAGAAGTATTCAAACTTTACAAAGTGGTACTCAAAAGGGTGACATTTATAGTTTATCTCTGATCCTGTTTGAAATACTTTTTCGGGAGACGCCCTTCGTTTCATTAGGCTTATCACCGAAAGGTTAAATAGAAATTCTTTAATTTCTTCAAAAAGAATTTCGCTTTAAATTAAGTTTACGTAACTTATTATGTGTTTTAGATATCATTGAAAAAGTGGCAAGTACAAATTTGGAGACCCCTTTTAGACCCGTAATACCAAAGACAACATCTATAGATGAGAGGGCTATTGTATTAATGGAAAAATGTTGGAGTGAGCACCTAGATCAAAGACCGTCGATTGCAGAAATTCGACGTTGCCTTAGAGAATTGAATAAGGGGAAAAAGTTTAATATGATGGACAATATGTTAAATATGATGGAAAAGTATGCGAATAATTTAGAGGAAATTGTTGAGAGTAGAACACAAGAACTGTCAGATGAGAAGAAAAAGAGTGAAACATTACTATACAGAATGCTTCCTGTTTCTGTTGCAGAACGCTTAAAGATTGGAAAAACAGTAGATCCAGAAACTTTTGATTCTGTAACTATATTTTTCTCTGATATTGTTGGATTTACTAAGCTTTCTTCCGAATCAACACCCTTACAAGTTGTCGCTTTCCTGAACGACCTATACACTCTGTTTGATGATATTATTTCAAAACATCAAGTGTATAAGGTTGAAACTATTGGCGATGCATACATGTTGGTTTCTGGCCTACCAGAGAGAAATGGCAATATGCATATTGTCTATATAGCGGATACAGCTCTAGATTTACTATCAGCTGTCACTACACAGTTCAAGGTAAGACATAAAGAAAATTATCAACTTAAGTTAAGAATTGGATTACATACGGGACCCTGCGTAGCTGGTAAGTCTATTTTAATAAGCCGAGACAATCTTGCTTTATACAAACATTTGTGTCATGCAGGTGTTGTAGGCCTGACAATGCCTAGATATTGTTTGTTCGGTGACACTGTTAATATGGCCTCCAGGATGGAAAGTAATGGACTGGGTAAAATAAATACAATGATTTTCAATCTTTATATCGTAATAGTGATCTTTTTTAATAATAGCTCTAAGAATCCATTTAAGTCAAGATTCGAAAAAGGCTCTTAGTGAAGCTGATTTGAGATTTAAATTAGAGGAAAGAGGAGAAATGGAAATAAAGGTATTCAAAGTGTCATTTCACTACGATTTTCTTATTTCTGTGCTGAACAATAGGGCAAGGGCTTACAGAAAACGTTTTGGTTAGTGGGAAAAGAAGGTTGCAACTTAAAACTTCCAGAATTCTAATACTTTAATTGGGTCGATTCTCTATTTGTTTGTGATTGTGTTTCTAATTGTAGTGCAAGTTTATTGTTGTAGATAATTATATGTTAATTCCATCGAAACGTATGGAACATATGATAAAAGTATTGGATCTATAAGGAGTACATGGGGGTATTGTTGTAGAAAAAACTTTACCTTAGCCAGCAGATGGCTCTGTTTGTCAGGAGATGAAACAAAGATATTTGCAAGAAGATATATGTTTGCACCGGCAGGTTTATTCAAAGTAGAATAATTCGAACAATAATAACGCTAGTTTTATATGCAATAAACAATAATATTTCACATCTTAAATATCTTGCAAGATTGATTGTAGTTTTCCTTTTTATTCGCGTTCTTTTTTAATTTCTCAATAGAAAGGAAGAAGAGTTATGAGAGGAACGGGAAAACATAAGTGTTACAGGAGGCTAATAACTTAAAATTATGGGAATTATCAATTTTAGAATCGGAAATTTAAAACCCCATGATTTTACTTTCGTAAAATGAATAAAAGAATAGGAGAGACAAAGAGATAAATGAGATAGAGGGTAAGAGGAAGGAGGAGTTTTTGTAGGGTGAATGAGAAAGATGGAAATAAGAAAATAAGAAAGGAATTTCTTCAATCATACATAAATTTCATTAGATTAGTAACGATTGATATGCTTTCTTTCTCTTAAAAGTTTCTGTAATGATTTCATTCTTTGTCAGAAAAGAGAAGAAGAAGAGAGGATAGAGTGGAAAAGACAATCCAAATTATATTTTCTCATTGAAAGTTTTGTACTCCCTAGACAATTATTGTAGATTTGATATAGGAACACTGTACGACAATTTTTTTGTCTTAAAAGAGAATTCATCCAATAAACTCTAACAGTATAAACAAGGAAAAGATAAGTATTACTACAGTTTTCTGATCTAGAATTTCCCAGTAGAATATCTAATTCGTAAGAATATGTTGATGACTTGAGAACTAAACCTGTTTCCCTTGTCCATTAAACCTCTATCTGATCAGTTTACAAATAATGTTTTATTTTGTAATACGTCTTTGCTTGATTAAGACTTATAAGAGGAAAAACGTGTTAATAAGCTAAGACTCTGTTTGGAAAGGACTCATTTTATCCTTTTTCTTCCATAAAACATAAATCAATTAGGTTTAGACATCTATCGCTTTTTGTTAGAAATATTTTCTCTTTTTTTAAGCATAAAGGGAACAAACCTTGTAATTATTTTCTTTAAATAAAGAGGGTAAACGAAAGTGATCACGAACAAATTAATTGGTTAGAAGAACAAATTTTAGGTTAAAAAAATAAAAGGCGCAATCGTACCATTTCTAATCAAACCAAATGTGGTTAATTCTGTTAACTCTGCACGGAATAATTAAAATTTTTCATTCTTTTGCCTATGTACATTATGGTAAAGACGTGTGTATATTTTTTCTCTTCCCTTCCCTTCTCTTTCTTTCTTACTCCTTTCTCTCTTTTTTTTCTGTTCTATTCTATTAGGTATATAAATAGATTATTTACGTAATAATTTATAAGAACGAGCTTTTATTTCAATTCTACTCTATACATATACAAGATGTTTTATCTATTATAACATTTAGAAGAGATTTTTCAATATTATAAATTCTTAGACTAAAAAAAAACTCGTTTTTTTCCCTTTTTCCATGGAATATATAACGAGAAAAAGAATAGAAATAGAAATCAAGACCTTTTTACTATCAATTAATATTGTTGCTAGGCTAAGTGTTGATAAGGTAAATACTAAATATTTCGCATTAAATTATTTTAGGTATAATTTATGATTATACTATAAACTTACTATATTAAATTCTGTCTAAATAACAATCAGATTTTGATTGATTATGTGTTGTCAATAGCCCACAGACAGTTAGTTGAAAGTTAAATTTAAATATAATCAATGAAATAGAGTAAAAGCCTAGATGTTTTTGGTCACGAAAGCCCCTCTGATTCACTTATTGTAGAATTAATGACTTATATTCTATCCATTTAGGACGTAGACCAAATTCTACTTTTTCCCTAGTAAAATTAATAGTTTAGAAAGTGTTACCATTCAGGATATTAATTAAAGATTTTTTTTTAAGTGAAAAAAAAAAACAAGCAGCACGCCCAAGTTTTGTTTTGTCTATTCATTATTTATTGATCTATCGTTATTCCCACAATTTCTCTCTTCTACCCTTCTTCTTCTTCTATTTTTCCTCTTCATTTAAGATGCATTCACAACTGTTTTACAACTATAGTGAAAATGTTACTTCTATTATATATCATTTACACAACAGCTTAAATTCCTATTATAGAGAAATTACGTCTAATTATCTAAAACGTTACAACAGTGAGATTTACGCATTTAGGTAATGTGGAATAACGATTGGGAATAGAATTAAATGGAAAATGAAGAGTTTTATTATTTCTTGTTTGTCAGCAAAAATCGAAGTTCATCTCTCGATAGTTTTCCGTTCTTGTCCGTATCGTAGAGACGGAAGAAGACGGCCGTTTGTTCCTCTAATTGACGCTTTGTGGGTACCTGTATGGATAATCGATATAAAACGTGGAATAAATTTTACTTCGTTTATTCTATTTGCGCAAAGTGAGATACTATTGAATTTTTCCATTCCCATTCCATCAAAAACGTCATTGATATACAAACAAGATAAAGTGTTTGTAATACGGTACTTCAGTAAACGTGTTATTTAGTATAAATATGAATGTGTTCAAACTTAAAAACTTTCAATACGTATAAAAATATCATTCTTTGTTTTTTGTATGAATATATAATGATGCGTTGAATGAATAGACGTTGAGCTCAGTAAACATTTCCTGTATAATAAGTGTTTTCTTGAATTGTTTGTTAATATTGTCAATGTTTGAGGCGTTCTTTTTAAAACGACTGACTATTTTATTAATATTTATAATTGTTCGATAATTATATTAAAATACACGATTAAGTAGAGGGTTATTTCAATATTTTATGGATTAATGTAATATCCTTACAAGTTTACTAGTGTGTTGATAAAATGTTCTATTTACCTGACCAATTTTGACAGTGATGTCTTTCAAAAAATCTCTCATTTCACCACATTCCAAATATTCGCTTCCGTCCTTATCATAGTAGTTGAATATTTCGTCGAAATCTCTTTTGCTTAACTTGTCACGTAGATCGAATGGTGTCCATTGCTCGTCAGTGAATATAATCCTAAGAGGAGGAGATAGAAAGTATTTATATATACTGTATATACTGTATATGTATGAGGGTGTAAAAGAGCCAAAGATAGAGTCGGTGATAAGGTAGTATGACATTCAAATAAAAGTTTTTCCATCAATGTATTTATGAATTTTAGATGTTTAACTTACTTTTTCATATTTTCAAATTAATTAGGATATTTTTAATTACTTATAAATATCTTAATAATCCCCTTTTTATCCTTAATCATTATCCAATTAGAGCGTTGTCAATATATTTATTAGTAAATGAAGTGTACCTCAAGTGAGTTGGCGTTAATGACTAGAAATTTGGTAATTAATTTAGGACAAAAAAAAGAGTATTTTATTCTCCCAAATGATTTCATTTGTTGGATGGAGAAGAGAGACGATGGACACAAGGAGCTGGATGAGAATCTTAAGTAAAATGAAAGCTATTTTCTTTTTAATGTATTAACTTTCTTGATTTAATTCCTAAATAAGGAGTTGAGAATTTAGAATATGAGATTAGGAATAGCATCCTTAAGAATAGGAAGGAACTGGTTATTATATTATAACTATTGTATTGCGTTTAAAAGAGGTTTATGTCAGGATCTCGTTACTACCTTAATTTTTAGGAAGACGTACGAAGGTAAGGTAGAAGGAACACTCTTTGATTATATATTTAGCATAATAGAACGTCTCTATTCAGTTTTAGGAATAAACAAGTTCCCTTTTATATTTTTTCTCTTCTCTATCTCTTTGCGCTGAATACCTTCTGATCTTTTAGCACAACTTAGCTAATTTTCATATAGTTTTCAAACTTTAGGTCTTTCTTTATATATTGTAAGAAGAAGATATGAATAGGGTATACTTTTTGTGGTTTTTCTATACATGTTATAGAGAAAGGAGAGCAATCGTAAAAGTGTACTTGTATATTACACTCTTCTAAGATACCCTGTTTTCTCTCATTTATTCACTTCATCTCCATTTCTTAAACAATCGTTACCTTCTTCTAATCTCTTAACTTCTCTCTTACTAATTTTTAATGCCCTTCTCTCTTTCTAAACCTCTTTATTCCCTTCTCCTTAACCTACAAGTCTTTTTTGTCCTTTGCTTTATCAGTTACTTTTTTTGTATTTCCTTTACTTCTTTTGTCTCTTTTTGTTTTGTCTTTTCAGCAATTTCAAAGTAATTAAAGGATATAACGAACTTAACTAAGAGTTAAAATACACTAGTTAGTACTTAACTACAATATAGGCTGAGAAATTCGTTTCTTATATTTAGATTATCGTCTACTTAGAAATCGTAAAAAAAGAGACGTAGGTATGTTCTGAAGATGAGTAGTACTTACTCGGCAAATTCTCCCAACTCGATTCTTTTATCTCTATTCCTATCAAACATCTTCAAAAATAGTCTCGTAGCTGCCCCAACGGCTTCGGGTGTCGATTCTTTCTGATATTTAGATGCGGGAAGGAAAAATAACGAAAATTATAGATAAATATTTATAAAGTATAATATTTTTCTAATACGAAAAGTTATGAATAATTTGTTTTTCATATAACTAAGAAAATATGAGTTGGATTTGTTATCAAAGCTTACTACTCCTTGTTTGCGAATTAAGTCGGCAGCAAATTGTTCCAGCTCATCTCGTTCAATGAAACCGCTACGATCCTTAAAATGAACGAAAACAAAAACAAATTAAAGATCCGAGATTAAATTGGTTGCAGGTATTTTTAATGTGTAATTGATTCGTATGTGTAAAGTGACAATATACATATAGGAAAACTATATATTACCTTGTCGTAATGGAACCATAATCGTAGAAAGTCGACAACGTGTACGCTGCCCTATAGGATTTTATACGCAATATATAAAATGTATATTTGACAATATGCTATATTTTATTTTAAATTATACCGAGTCTTATTACAGCTATTAAATAACAACATACTATGTACAGTATCTATGTATATATTATAGTTGTCTATATACTTAATACTATTATTCCTATTAAAGCTTATAAAGAAATTTAATCCTCATATCACGACCAAACTTTGTCAAATCCTGACAAAACTTTTTCCTATTTTCCTTTGTGATTAGCAACGTCATTAAAGAACAAAATCATAGTAGGTATCATTATATTTACTTGTATAATTTTGATATTTTTTACAGTTTGCATCATAAAACGATAAAATAGAAAATAGAAACGAGTGTATGCCGTTTTGGGATTACAAAGCATAAAAAGAAATTGTACTTTATGACGTCATGTAGATCTATTTATGTTTCTCAACATTTCATAAATTGTTGAATTAATATATCAATAAAACTTTGTTAGAGCATCTCCCTGCGTTTCTTTTTCCTTGTTTTCTGTTTTTAAACTTTTATTAAATGAAAGAAAAAAATGGCTATGTTTCTTTTTTATTAAAAAAGTGTTTTGCCGTTATTTTAAATAGAAAAACGAAGATAAAAGGAAAAAAAAACTATTTGGCCGAAAGCTAACAAAAAAAAGAAAATAACAAAATTATAAGAAGAGAAATCCAATTAAAACTATAAAAAAATATCAATTTTTTAAATATGCTTAAAATATAATTAAACCATTTTTGTATAGTTACATCTAATTAAGGAGTAGGTCCCTCATTTTTCAAAAGGATTAGTAGTATATACATATATTATATATGCATTTAGGGAAAGAAAGATTGAGAAAAAGAGGAGGGAATAATTGACAAAGTTTCTTCTAAAATACGTTATCATAAATATCCTATAACGTCCAAGTAAATATCAAAGGGAACGTAATAGTTTACATGGTATAAGCACTACTAATAACTTTAAGATATATTATATAAAAATTTCTTTAAAATTAGTAACCCTATACAGCATACATGCGGTATGCAATATATGGATAGTATTTAGCGCTTTACATGTATATATCTATATATAATATAATCTTGTAAAATATTAATAAATTACATCCCTTCCCTTAAATTTAATGATATTCTCTTAGGTTTCTCCTTAAATTCATTTTGAAATGACAAACATATGTCAGCCATCGCGTAATCTCATTAAAAAAATTATTCTACAAACCTTGTCAAACAGAGCATTTAGTACGTGACCTTGTCGTAAATCGTCCTATAAATTATAAACAATATTTATTAAGAGTAATCGAAATGAATAGTATAGAAATATTACAAATTATTTGTTTTGTTTTCTTTGTTATAATTAAAGAAAAACTTAGTAATAAATGTAAATAATTCTTTCTCAGAAAAGATATCAATACTCGCCTCGTTCATGACGAAAAATGCCAGACGTCACTTGCCAGGTGACGCTGCATACAAAACATTTTCGAATAATTATTATAATGATATTCCCTTCTTGCATTACTCACGCGTATTATTCCATTATTTGGTATAAATTGTATCGTATTGTTAGCTGCCTAGATTGTCGTAGGCTTAATAAATCAAGTTCTTTTAAATTTCCGAAACGTCACCATTTCTATCTTCGAAATGGTAAACTCTGTAAAAAAAGTCGGACAAACATTGTAAGAATATTCTAAAAGCGTTTATAAAACTATAAAAGGCATGTTTAACAAATAATACTCGTTTTAGAATTTTGGTACTCTCTTTCTCGTTGATATGTATTGGGAAATCGATTGATAACGCGTCAAAAATCTCTAATCCTAGTTCAGTAGGAAAATTAATAAGTAAGATAATCTACCATCAGATTATAAATATCAAAATCAATAGGATATATTTTTGTTTTGTTAACCTATTATTTCCTCAGTCAATTAGAGTACTTAACAGATTTTACATCAAAGTCGAACAATCGTAGTGGAATATCGTTAGTTAAAATTCATTGGGAATCAACAAGGATACCAGTTATTATTACACTATTTGCAATAGCAGCTGCTATTGTTAAGATACGTAAGATTAGACGCCCAAAAATTTGTGAACAATCTATGTAAAATATTCTCTAGTAATCTCCCTGCAATATACTGTATACTATATAAGTTAAATGTATCTCAATACATTTAATCTACATATATATTAGTATATACTATATATATATATATATATATAAGTTTATATATAAGTAGTATATGTTCGTATGAAAGAAAACAAATTGAAAATATCAATAGTAATGGGGTCAAGCTAATAGATGACTTTTGTACTTTTTCAGTCTTTCACAAAGCGTATTGTTTAAGTGCATTATTTCCGGAATCTTGGTAAGATATCATTGTTTACTATCTTCATTTGCATAGGCACCTATAAATTTCTATATTTTATATATTTAGCGTTCTGATTCTACTTGGTATAGCTGCCGGACTATTAATACAGTTTGTATTATTATATATAGTATTTCTTTTTCTGCTTTCCTCAAATGGCCATAGTTGTAAAAAGTAACGAAGGCCTATGATTTGATTAGTAAACTCGTTAAGGTAATGCTACACGAAATACGTGATTAGGTTTTTAAACTTTCACACATTTGTTAAAAATTGAGGAAAAGAAAAGAGCATTGGATAGAGAGAAACAGAACTATCTTCTTTATCTTCTCTTATAACCGATCTTCCAATTATCATTATAGTTTGCCTTATTTTTTTAATATTACTAAAGAAAATAAAGTTTGTTCAATCAACTTTATCTTCTGTCGATATTTGTAATTAGAAAAAGAAAATTTAGCAAACATTAACCGGTTATCCAGTCGTTTGCTGCTAAAAGGATGAAATTATATAGTTTATAACCTAAGGATAAATCAAGTCTTTTGCGAAGAAACTTAATATTTCTTCATTTATTGATAATTTATAATATTTCCTTTACAATTTCTTTATCATATTTAAAAATAAATTGTAATGAGCAGAGAGACTTTTTCACAGAAGGTTTTCCTTTACAATACTTTTTCTCTCTTTCGAAATTATCCCTTTATAGGATTACAACATCCTTTATATATATATATATATATATTAACCATTTCTCTTTTTTCTACTTTTTAATAATAATAGCTATGGATATTTGGATGAAAATCATGAATTTGAATTAACTCATGATTTATTCATAATTTATCTACTTCCCCCGTAAGTTATAGAATAACTTAAAGCATTAAAAATCTAGTAAAACATGAATAAATCTAAAGAGATATCTAATATATTATTTAAATAATAACACAGAGTAAATAATTGTTCTTTATGTATTAATTTAAAAGAATAGTTCTTGATAGTGCCTATACGCTAAATGATCGGAGTTTCTATGACAATATCGGAACGATTCTAATATTCTCTGTACAAGCTACGTTACTAAATTGGATTATTATAGGACCGTCACTATATTTCTTATCATTATCTGGGGCGGTTGGATCATTTCGTGCTCCTCTTTCAGACTTACTCCTTTTCTCCGCTCTATTGGCTGCTGTTGATCCTGTAGCTGTACTTGCGATTTTTCAAGAGGTGGGAGTTAATCAGACTTTGTATTTTCTTGTCCTTGGGGAGAGTCTGTTAAATGACGCCGTAACACTTGTTCTGGCAAATATGCTCATGGAATATCAAGATGCCAGCAGCTTTGATCTAGTTCAGGTTGATAAAATCAAAATTAGCTCATTTTCTCTCTTTTACGCATCGGAATCTTTTACACTAATTATACAAATTTTTACCGACAATAATTAAGTAAAATAATTAGAACTCAAGGATCCAAAGTGCTTCTTCCGGTGAACGATTTAATATCTAACTAATGCCCTTAATACAGGTCGTTCTAGGGATCCTATCATTCTTTGTAACATCGTTAGGAAGCCTTTCGATCGGAGTTATTTGTGGCCTCTTTACAGCCGTAATTACCAAGTTCACTAAGGAAGTAAGGGTTATTGAACCATTGTGCATAATAGCTTTGGCCCATATGTCTTATTTGGTAGCTGAAACCCTACACTGGTCAGGAATGATATCGATGATTGGTTGTGGACTTTTACAAAGTTTCTATGCAATGGATAATATAAGGTATAAAGATATCTTAGAACGTGGGAAATTTCCTCTTAATAAAAAGATTACTATTTTAACAGTAAGAAGAGCTTTACAACAGTAAAATATTTTATGAAAATGTTGGCAACACTTAGCGACACAATAATTTTTATGCTACTCGGACTGGAAGTAATTAAGACGAAACATACGTTCGATGGACCATTAATTGCTTGGACAATATTTCTATGCTTCATAGCAAGAGCAATTTCAGTGTTTGGTATTACAGCTGTTGCTAACAAAACTTATCGTTTTCGAAAGGTTTCAGTAAGGGAGCAATTTATTATTTTCTATGGAGGTATTAGAGGAGCAGTTTCTTACGCAATAGGAGTAAATATTCCTTCATCGAATGTTCATAAGTACACGTTCCTAACTGCTACTTTCACAGTTATTGTTTTCACTGTATTCGTTCAGGTATTCATAATAGGAGAATTGATTTCTTCTTTATAGTAGGCTCGTTGCTTTACTTAATCCTTTTATATTAATATTTTCTTTGGTCTAAGGGAACAACGGTTAAGCCTTTGGTGGATTTGTTCGGCATAGATAAAGCTATAAAAGAAGTTACTATGTTTGAGGAAATTAACAAACAGTTAACTAATCATGTTTTACAAGCCATTCAAATTCTTGTTGGACAAAAGGGTGACAACGCTTTTCACTCTATTTTTCGTTACGTAGACGATAATCTATTGAGCAAGCACTTAAGAGTTGAATTAGCTGGTGTTGAAGATAAAATGTTAAGAAGATACTGGAAATTACTTCAAGCTGAACTGTTAGCCCAAAGAGATGTCCTTAAAGAATCGTCCGACAAAAAGGGAAAGATGAAAAATCTTAATGAAATCTATAGGGAATTATTGTAAGACCTTTTAGTCCACACGATTTATTCTTCTTAAATTCAAATAGGCCTACTTCGTACTTAATTAATTTGCTCTCTATAAGATAATTTATTAGGATGCAAAAATCTACTTCTTTTCAACGTTAACTCTCTTATATCCTTGCCTATACATTGTGTTTTTCGTTCTTAATTAATATTATAATTATACAATCACGTACATTTATTCTCCTGTAGAGAAAAATCAAAAATGCGTCAAATAAGGCAACAAAGTGTCGATATTGTCCATGATGCTCATGCCTTATCAACCCTACTTCAGCAGAGTACTTTACAAGAAGACGAACGGAGGAGAAAGGTTGATAAGAGAAACATAATCGACGAGGATGAAGATGAAGATAAGATGGGCGGAGAAAATGAGTTAGTTAAAAATATTTCTCTTCAATTATTATATAAAAAAAGCCAATATAAGTATTTTAATGAGTTCTTTTCAAAGGATTCTCTAAAATTTATTTATCTTTTGAATTACTTTTATTTCTCTATTTTCTCTATCTTTTTCTTTATAACAAGTCCCTGGTTCCAAGGAAATAATGAAGTTAAGGGTAGTCGTTCGTCTATTTTCAAGAATAGAAGATCTACAACTTTCTCTTTTATGTATAGAAATCGTATTCCTAAACCATTTCTCAGCCTACGACGAAAATTATATGAAAAATCCGGTAAAAAACAAATTACTCTATAATGATTTTTCATATCCCATTAATTATCGATTCACTTTCCTTTTTTTTTACTCGTGCCCTGTTTTCCTTTTTTAAATAATCAAAAAGGAAAATTATCAGTTCGGGAATAGAATGACAAAAAAAAATGAAGGGGCAGAAGAAAAAAAGAGAAAAGAAGTATAAAAAATACCACTTTTACGCCATCTATTGATCGAATGTTTAAATGAAACCAAAATTCTTGTTTGCTAATTAAGTTTGATGTATTATAGCATAAAATAAGAAATACTGAATTCAGGAGAAAATATAATTTGTCAAGTAAAACTTTCAATCAAGTAGTCAGTTTGACTTTTTGTCGGGAAATATGAAACTTTTGTAAAGTGCTTAAGATCAGTAATAGAAACCAAACCTATAGGAATTATAAGGAAAGATATAACAAGAAAAATTCTAAAGGATTGCCGAAAAAAATTCGATTCTTGTCGTTCTGTGTAATGAAATAAAAGTAAAAGTTTCTTATTTATTATACACAGTCACGAGTTTTATGAACTTTTCACGGCGTTTAACGAAGAGTATCACTGATTATAGAACAGTTACGTGAGCTATTCTACTTTAGAAGAGTAGAACTGTTAACACACCAATTATGATTGGTACCATTAAGGTTCTTAGACCGCTAACTCCTCCTCCCAAATGCTGATTTGGATCTGCTCTACTAATTTCTTCTATTCTAGCATTACAGCAAGAACCAAGAACTTGGTTTAAAGCATCTTTGTTTTTCATGACAGCAGTTTCCAAAAGATCTTGACTCATAAAGTTGGAAGGTAGAGCCCTTGCAGTAATTGCTCGTTTGCATAGATCATTATCGGCGTTTGGATTTGCATAGATAACAGCTAATGATCTATCTCCTTTGTGAGATATTGGATAGCCGTCGGCTGCTTTTAATTCTGCTCTTTGAATGTAAATATAATGCGCTATGCTGTAAACCAATGAAATAATCACTCTCTTTTTAAAACATTCTCTTTATTTGTTCACTTACTCTTTTCTCTCTGTGTCTGTTGAACAACATTGTGAAAAGTATTCTTTACTGTTACAGATATCGTTTATTGAATTAGTAACGTATTTTCTAATCAATGGCCACAGACTATCCCACTGAAAAGAATATCTAGTTAACAACTTTCTCGAAATTAAAAAACTTACAGACAAAGAGAAAGACGAAATGTAAATTATAAAAATATATAATTAGCTATGATTTATCAAAAATGAATATCTAGTGAAAGAGTTAAACTTGATAATTAATTCTATTTTTGAATCATATATTCAGAGTTAAGTCTGTCGCTCTCTCTCTCTCTCTCGCTCTCTGTTCCTTTTAATATGAAAATTCTTTTGAAATGAGTATTGTCCTCTCTGTCTAATACCTATAATCTATTTGTTCTATATATAACATTCCCCAATTGAATACACTTTTATGGAAAGTAAATTTGTACTAGAAGGTTCGTTGTATTAATTAAAAAAAGGTAACTCACTTGAGAGGGAGAAACGGAAAGGTATAAGTTGACACCAAAACTGAGTTGCTTTTTAACGCCTGTGTAAAGTTTACATTGTCACATTTTTAATAAAACCTTTCATTTAAATAACTTTTGTAAACATCAAACTTCGGTTATTCAAATTTAATCGATAACGAAATAAGTGAAAGCTTTCTTTTTTTAATAATGAAAACTTACGTTCACAGTCACTTCCAAAATAATCTTCGGGACATTTGCAGATACATTGTGAGCCCGATTTAATAGCATAGCCGCCGTTTTGGCATTGTAAATTCTTTGTTACACAGTCCGCTGGTGGTGCAGGATTATTTGGGTTAGGTGTTGGCCCCCGTGTTGTGGATGGGACTGGAGAAGGAACTGGGACTGGTGCTGGTACGGGTGAGGGAACTGGAGAAGGCACTGGGGAAGGTACAGGAGAAGGTACTGGGGACGGAACTGGGACTGGAGTTGGAACTGGAGACGGAACTGGGACTGGAGCTGGAACTGGAACTGGAGCTGGAACTGGAACTGGAGCTGGAACTGGAACTGGAACTGGAGCTGGAACTGGAACTGGAGCTGGAACTGGAACTGGAGCTGGAACTGGAACTGGAACTGGAACTGGAACTGGAGCAGGAGGACCAACCGCTAAAGAGCAATAAATAAACATTAAATATTTTTATATGCTGAATTAGTCATTTTCTTTTTGTCAACGTAATATATCGCTATTTTAGCTGTGTTAATAGCTAAACTAAGTAGCCGCACAATGGGAGAGACTATGTGCAGACTAACAATTGAAAACAGCTTTTCAAAAAATTTAACAGACAGCCTCTTAACTCTAAAATTATTATAGATCGTAATAGTTTATCAAAACCTTACTGCAAATTTCACACGTCTTAGGGCAAAACTGTTTCAAGTAATCGTAAGCTCCTTTGCTGGGATCGGAACAATGAGATTTTGGCCAACCTTTTCCACATTGATCATGATTGTCTTTACACTCAACTAGATTTTTGAAATATAATTTTAATATTAGCAAGCTCAAAGGGCATAATTATTATATTCTTAATTTTCAACTCACGTGAGCAATCAGCTCCGTAGTACTGACTAGGACAAGCACAGGTACATTCGGTAGCATTCTCTACTCCACCATTCTGGCACGCCACCTTACATGCTATAAAGATCAAATGTCAAACTGTAACTACCAGATGTCATATTCTTAAAGACTTACGGCAATCAGCTATTGATTCAGCAGGACAATCTCGACAAAGTTTATCGTATTCTTTATCACAATACATTTTTCCACCTTCGCAAAGTGTACAAGGATTTCCTTTTTTAAAAGGTTTCACATTAACATAGTTTCCACTGTAATAGCATGTATAAGATATATGTTAAGTAAATTTTTAATACTCTTCTCTATACTCACGCTGGTCCATAATTACAAACAAAAATGAAAGCGTCTGTCCCTTGTTCTACAGTTTTGGATTTATTTGTATATACTGTTGTACAGAGTTTATAACCGCATCCAACATTATTACTCTTAGCCCACACAACTTGTGTATAATGACCGCAAACTTTACCGGTAGAACAAGATAATGTATCATAGTCGTAGTCAGGTTTTTCATCATACCATGCGCTAATTGCCGATTCAACCTGAATACAATCAAAGCGTATGGTTTAGTTGGACTAGTAAAAATAGACCCTTTTTCAATTTTGAAAGCTAATTTAATAACATAAACATGACTAATGTTGACAATGAGGAAGGATTTAAAAATTAATAGAAAGGTGTATTTACTCACATCTAATGAGGATGCGCTTGTTAGAAAAAGATTTTGTCCAATACTGTCCCAAGGTTTATCTGTTCTATCTGGTTGTCCATGATCCCAAACACATTGATCTGCCCAATCCTCAGCCATGGTTGCCAGGTAGTTGGAATATTTCTATTGAAAAATAAAGTTTTAGAAAGAATTAATAAATTATAAGAGATAAAAAAGCTAAAATCTTTACCATAATTTCCATATCGCCAGCTCCTTCACTACTTCTTAAACTGTTATGCTTAGCTACAATTTTGGCAATATCATCTGCCGAATGAGTAGCTCTCTTTGTTCTTTCAAACTTTAAAAGAAAAAAAAGTTTACCTTATAAAAGTTTAAAGAAAAAGTTTGAAGAAAAGTTTTCGTAAACTTTTCGGTAAATTATAAGTAAAATCATAAATAAGAAACAAACATTTTCTGGTTTGTTCAGAGTAATTAATGAAGAAAATAGTAAAAGTAAGAGTTGTTTCTCGAGTTTGAAGAACATTTTTGAAGACCAGTAAGTACAAGGTAATACTTTTCACCCAAATGACGACTCAACACCGAGTGATATCTCTTACGTCAATCGCATGAAAAGGTGACCCTCTGACCAAAAGAAATTTTTTTCTAAATCAACATAAAGGACTCAGTTAAGCTGCTTAATGGTTTTAGCGACTATTTCGCCGAAGCTTACATATCCTTTGCTAATATACAAAGCAGCACGAGATTAAACATTTAGAAAAGTGCTTGTTGACACTAAGAAAACTTAATAAAGTTTTGTTTCCATATCACATTTCGTAACAGTTCTATGACGTAGTATTTTAATAATTGCTCATTCTTTCAAGAAAGTTCTCAAGATAAATTTTAGGTTATATAAAGTAAATATATTAAATATATCGTTACTTTTGCAATTGATTATCAAATTTCAGGTTATTTCAACAACCACGTTTTTTATCTTTCTTACTGTAAGACAGTATTTCTAATCAGGTTTTTTTTCTTTGAAAGTGTCACAGATTAATAATTACAGGTGAGAAGTAGGAATAAGCATTTGGTAATTATCTTTTTGCTTTTAGGCATCTTTGGCAAGAGAAATCTACAGCTGAATCTGATATGGTAAATAGAAACTTTAAAACGTCTATTACTTTGGCCTTAATTTAATAGTGCGTTAATAGGTACAACGAGCATAAATTTGCTAAAAGGGTGTCAAAAAGCTGTAACGCGAAAAGATCACATACATTCATTATTCAATCTCTACAAGACACTTAGCAACATTTACCTACAAATTTGGATAATGTGGTTCATTGTTAATTTGTTACTATGTGTTTAGTGAAATAACTATATTAAAGATTATTTTTGGACAATTGCCCATATTTTCACTATGACACGAGCAAACTGTTTATCTTTTACTTATTTTTTGAATTAGCCGCTCTTTCTTTACAATTAAAAAAATACAAAGAAAAAACTACTTCTTCAAGAGGCTTAGTTAGCGAAATCGAAGAAAAAAGTGTGCCAAAACTATTTGTATATATATTTTCAACCAATTCCGGCACCATGTAGTTAAATAATAATCATATCTATACAACTAAGAAGAGTATAATCCACGAATTTTTTCGCTTGAGCAATATATCAATGAGATTTTCTCATTTATTCTTTTATGAAAGTTTGTATCTAATATAAGATTTTAGTACAACAGAATTCTATACATTTAAAAACTTTAAACTAATATTAATGTATGAATGGTTTATTTTCCTTTGAAAAGATATTGGTTTTGTTAAATTTATATAGATAAATATAGTCATTCATTCTTTTGGTTTAAGCAAAATCGAAGCTATTTTTTTTTAAATCATTAATTTCAATTATAGAATTTAACTATTTATAAAATATGATGTTAATTGAATAGCTTAAATTTAAACGGTATTTGACTAAAATTTTAGACAGAAATTGCATTTAAGAACTACTTAGATGTACTAAAATGCAATAACTGAAAACATAATTCAAACATTCCCTAAGGCAAAAGTAAATTAGAGTAAAATGTTCAAGGCTTGAAAATAAAAGGTTCTTAAAAGTATATTACACAAAACTCGATTTAATTCTTCTTTAATTGAGCATTTTCGAAGAAATCTATGAATTCATAAAACTCTATTTGTTATTATTCAATTGCTTTATACTTTTTATTTCTTCTCTCTATCTCTTCCTCCTTTATAAAAGTTCTTTTCCTTTCGCTCAATCTTTTATAATTTTATGTTTTATTAACATTTGAACACTTTGTGCCTCTTTAGGCTTGTATAAATAATAAAGAGAAAGGTTTGTAAATTCTAGTTTGTATTTGAAGTCACACATTTTGGTAAAACATTCAGTTTTTGTCAATTTCATATTCATTTCAATTTTTATCTAAAGGGTTTCTAATGAAAAAGGAAAAAATTTTAAAGAAAATGCACTAATTAACGATTGATAATGGCATTTATTAATTAGCCGACATTTAATTAATGAAAATGAAACTATGTAGAGAAAATGAAAAATGACTCGATAAAAGAAAAAAAAAACAAAAAAAAAAGAGAGAGAGAGAGAAGCTGTCAAGTTTTTGAAATTACGTCGCAAAGAAATATCCCTTAACTTAGCAAGTAAAATAATTAATAAACTGTTAACGCCATCTAGTATCATTATGTGGAAAGAAGCATACATAACGAAAAGTGGTGCGATACAAAATCACTTAAGATATATTAATAAATAATTGATTTGGGTGGGGGGTAATATTAACCTTATAACAATTAAAAACTTTTCCCTTTACAATCTCTGACTATATAATCTAATTAACGATATATTAGAACGTAAATGAATTAATACCGAACAAATGTAATAGTGTACTGATCTTTTTTTATTATTAACACTTCTGTATTGGGATCAATCGGGTAAAGTAAAATGTCATATTCAACCTAAATTTTCGCCTTTTAATCACGTGATTATCGAATAAGAGAAAGAATTATAGTTAAGCCTTATATTTCTTCAACTACGTAAGATATTTCAAAAAAAGAAAAAGGTTCACAGAGCAAAAGTTTATTACAAAGAAAGAATAAATGTATTGAATTTACGAAAAAAACAATAGCTCTTTGACTGCTATTCATAAAATATCATCGACCCAAAACATAAAGGAAGGGGGAATGTTATTGGTGCCCTTTTGAATAAAAGTCCGTAAATATGATATTGTGAAGAGAATTTTAAACTCCTTATTATATCACGATAAAGGGAATTCTAGGCTTAAAGGCGATATATAATATTTTGTACACTTTATATAAGTGATATCTTAAAAATACCATTTTCGCAATTGAAATATGTTAATTTTTATTATATTTTATAGTAAAAGTTAGAAACATTAAAGTGAGTACAAAACAATTTGTCGAGCTTGGGATTCATGTTATGTCATTAATAACAATACTTGTAGTGTAATATATGTGTTGTGTATAGATTGCATAGATAGTATAGTTATCCAGCTTATTAAAAATACATTATAATATACACTGTCAAAAAATATGAAACAATACTGCAATTAAATACATTTTGTAAATAATCAATATAGAATTTACTATATGTTTTTTTCAAATAAAGCTCATAGCGAAAATCCGCTTTGTTTCTACTTTTTGATCGATAAAACCTCATTCTCAGTACTACGCTTGAATAATTTATTACGAGTATTATCTTATAGCCTTGTGAATTAGAATATATACATTTAATGTACTCATCAACCCAAATCAATAAAGGTTTCCAGAACATATTGATGTTGTTAAAAGGTATTTTCAACAAGATGAATAAATAATACTAATGTACTGCGTAAAATATTCACTAAATTATTATGTAAGTTATAACACTGAAAAATTTTCAACGGAAGTTCCTCTTCCTACCTAACTTCCTCTTTCTTCCACCTACACTGTAAACATCTAGATTGTTTTTATTTTGTTTCCTATAAAGCTAACTAGCTTTCGTTAAAGAGTATTATTGCAATTTTACGTAACAAATATTTTTACAACAGCCAAAGCAATTAAAAATTTTAATAAAATTCATTCTTCAGCCTTAATTTCTCTTCCTTTAAAGTTCCCTGTTGATAATATTTGTATGATTATCTGTTTTCAATTCTACAACAAGAATCAAAGATGATCTGTTGCAATCTTTTGAAGTCTAATTTTAAAAGATACAGTATATGAAGAAAGAAGTAGATAAATCTAAAACATTCTTTTATTTCCTTTCTCCTTTCAAATAGATTTGTTTCAATATATTTCGTAATCCCTGTATTCCTTTCTTTGAACTTTCAATCTGATTGACTTGTTGAATATACACTGAAATAGAGAATATATATTATAAAGTGTCGATTTTAATCTATATACTGTATTTTATTTGAATATACCTACACCAATTAGTATGAACTAGGTGAAAACTAGATATTGGTAATTTGATTAATTTACCTTGGAAGAGATCATTAATTGTAATTTTTCTGCTTCTTTTTCAATTCAGACATATTTCTTATTTTGTGAATTTTGTTTACTTGATTGAAGAGAGGATTAATAAGTAGAAAAATTATTTAGTTTCATATCATATGTTCAGATAAATGCTATCTTATCAAGAGAATATTTGATAAATGGAGTTTAACTCCCAAGTAATAAACTTTCACAATATACTGTTTATGATGTTTCAAAAAAATTGAATATTGATAATAGACAGCGTTTTATTATTATAAATTGAAGTGAACCAGTATTAAATGTTTTTACGAATAAGGTTTAGTATTTTCTGAACGCTTTCTTTAATTTACTATTTAAATATCCGTGCGATTAGCGGGTGACGTTTTTGGCCGAGTCCTCTCTCGTCCGTCTGCTGATCTAGGTCTCAATGTTATCCTGTGTGTAGTATGAGGTCGATTTTTTCCGAATCTTCTACTCAATTTTCTTTCACCATAGACGAAAACTGGCTCAATTTCTTTTTCAGAATCCGCTATAATAAGCTCTGGACAGAGGCCATGGGGACTACGACCCGTGGATATCCTTATGTACTCCAAAGTTACATTTAGCATTCTAATATTTCGATTAACAGTCTGAATTGCCTTCACTTTCTCCTTCTCAATTTGAATAAGAGACTGATCCAGCCTTATAGATTCTAACTTATTTTGTCTCTGTGCCCTTATCAGCTTGGATTTGTTTCCTGTTAGCGTGTTCCGAAGCATTTCTAAAGTGTTGGACAAGGTATTCCTCTCTTATAAGTGGTAGTCCACTTACGTTTTTAGTTGGTAATTGGACCGCTCAGGTTTCTATAAATCTTTGCACTCAAAAACATACAATCCTACTCTCTCTAATATATATCAAGTCAGCTCTTTATGGTCGTTATTGTGTCACCGACGATAAGGGTACTCTACGGATAACTCATGTCTAGTCTTGTTTTTAGTTTATTAACGACTACTGCATGCATTCTATACTTAATCAACAGCTCTAAAAAACCAATTTTAAATACATTACAGATTTTCGGAAAATTTATTAGAACAGATAATTAATTTCAACGTTCATAGAATTACTTATTACGTCTTCTAGAATACTTGGCTAGCTGTTTTTGTTAAAGTCAGCTGCAATTCTTCATAGAGCGGACGTAGCTATTTGAAAAAACAAGGTAAAATTACTTAACGTTCCTTAAACGTAGGTAATAATTTTAGTTCAAGTGATTACTAGAATGAACATTTAATAAGAGTATAAGTAAACAACCTGAATCTCAAAGCTTTCTTTATAGTCATGGCAGTAAGCAGCAGTTTCAATTGCTAGTTCGCACCATTTGTTCGCGCTGTGATAATATTCATAGCTGTAAGAAAATAAATCCTGCTGTTTAAAAATATACATTTTACAAGTAATATTACGATATTACCTCCATAAAATAACTCCTAAGTTCCAAGCCTTATTTGTAAACCATGGAAGATAATCCGTTGCATTTGTTGACTATAAGAATAAAAAACAAGATAATTCACAGGAATTTAACCTCAGCTACTTACAATATTTTTGGTTTGGATGAAGTCTATGAATTCTCTAGCAGAAATATAAGCAAGATCAAAGGAGTTTTCATCTGCCAAGTTTCCCAAGTGCAACAACCTCGTTATTGTAAGCTTAAAGATGGCACTATTTATGATAAAAAAAGCAATTGTCAACAAGTAATGAGTAATGTACAGTATATTTGAATTAGAAACTAGATATCTAACCTGAGACAGTCCAGTTCAATAGCTTCCACTAGATAACTTTTTTTCAGTATCCGCTTCATTAATGAAATCCTCACATCTGGCTGCATCGGAGTACGATCCAAATGCACTATTTTCAAACGCATTAGTTTTGTTACATAAACTATTTAGCTTGCTCATTACCAGAAGCGAATAGCAAAAGTTCGGAAGGGCAATCAACCAAATTTTCAATTTTTTTCACGATAGGAGTTAAATTTCTGTCATTCACCAGCACTATCAATTTAAGTTCCATACAAACCAGAGCTAATACGAGTTTTTCTATTGAAAAATAATAATCATTAACCTTTATTCGCTGCATATATTCATCCCCTGCTTTGGGAACTTACCGTCTATTTCGAATTTCACGTTTGATTTTAATGTGTTGATATAATCGATATGATCTTTAGCCTCTTGCAATAAAGACTGAAACAAAAAATATATGTACTTAAGCAGAAGAGTTACAACAAATGAAAAGAACACCGCTTTCTCCTTCTCATCCCCTGGTAATTCTTCAGCGATTTGTAAGCAAAGTTCTGCTGTTACAGCGCGACACTTTACAAGCGAATCATCTATGGTGTTTGTGTCAAGTGATGCGGAAAACTAAATCAAAGAAAATTAATAAACTTTAGAACACCGTATATACAGTGTATGATGTACCTTTAGGTATTTGTTGAGAAGCGTTTTTTTAATTTTGGGAGATGTATTCTGACCACATAAATTCCAGCCTGACAAAAGACAATCTATTAAGTAGAAATGTTTTTTATTTTTATTACTAACAAATATTTTTAAACCAAATTATATAGTCGCACATATTTTCCAAGCCGGGTTTTTCAAGAGTCAGCTTAAGTGCTAAGTCTATTATATTAATTATGTCATCGTATACTTTTTCAACGTTTTCTTCGTCGGCTGTTGTGCAGTAAATTCTACATAGCGCTTTACAGCACATCAAAGCTTTATCAGAAGACGGTGAACATTCACAAATGCACTTAAATGCTTTGATTGCCATTTCAATTTGATTTACCTAAAAGAGGTCATGTTTCACAGTAATAAATCATATTTAAGTTCTTACTTCGAAAGCTAATTTGGCAGCCGTGCTGACGTAATCATAAGGAGTATCTGTTCGATGGCTCTCTTTTTGAAAAGGAATGCTATCTGGGGACAGTTTTTTTACAGCATCAGCGTCAGCAATTGCAGCACAGCACAGCTTGTCGAGAAATGTATCCGCTAAAGTAAAACAACTATCTGTAATAAGAATACTACAAATTTTACTACTAATAACCTGTAGTGAAATCATGTTTATCCAAATATAATTTATAGATCATAAAACAAGTTGGTAAGAAGCTTTCTTTTAAGCTTAAAGCTTTCTCTGACCAAGTTAAAGTCTGCCAATAAGATAATTTTTAGATGAATCTCTTTAAAAATTTACTTACCTCTTCATCCCTTCCAGCGGCAATACTACAATAAATGATGTTCCTATAAATTTTTGCTGTCTCTTCATTAGTAACACTTTTTGTTTTTCGCATAATTTTTAAACACTTTTCAAATAGTTCTATTGCTACCACTTCATTTCCTCCTCTCATTTCTTTTACAGCCCTTTCGAACAAATTGTTAATTAATGCAGTACTCTCTTGAGCTCCAAGTTCAGGCATATCTATATTTCAAGATAATATGTCAGAAAGTTGAAATATCGGATATCAATAGAAAGTTACCAGTAATGATTTTATCCGTTAAATTGCAAAATTCTTTTTGATCTTCAGATTTTGAAAGAAGATATTCCATATTAGCCATGTATATCTGTAAAATAAGTGAAATGTTCAATCTTTAATCTTTTCAGAACCTTATCAGGATTTTACCTTTGATTTCGACAGAGGATCATCAAACTTTTGCTTCAAAAGTTCAAACAGCTTTGTAATTAAAAGGTCTCTAGCAAATATTTTTAGATTTGAGGTGATTGTTAGTGTTAAATGCTGTATTACCTATTGCTTTTCTTCAGCATTGTAACAACCACTAAGCAATCTCTAGCATTAGCGTCTCTGCTATTTACCAATTTTTTGAAGTCTAGATTAAATTAGAACAAAAATTTGAGTTAATAAAGTACAATAAAAGTCAAATGTTTACATTTATTAATTTCTTCATCTGTGTCTCCCAACAGTATTTTTATTTCAATATATCTCTTAAAAAGAATGAAATCTGAATATTGCTATTGAAATAAAAATGAAGCAATTAGTTATTCATTTTGTTTACGAAACCAAAACAAAGGGTCACAGACTTCAACGGCTCTTTTCAAATGGTCTTCTGCACTTTTGATATCATTCGAGTCTTTCCGTTCCATTAAAGTTTGTGTCAATGCTTGATACGCTTTAATCTAAGGGGGGGATAACAATTAATTAAAGTAAATGGAATAATATTAGTATACCTTTATAGATTCTACAGCAGGACAATTTTCAACTTGAATATTTATGACAACCTCAAACCAGTCTATAGCTGAATCTAATTTCTTATCATTTCGTAAGTGAACTCCTGTATTGAAACAATTCGAAATAAATTGCGTTATATCCTGAAAAATAAAAGTTGAAAGAATGAAATCAATTTATAGTCCTTCAAATAGATAAATCTTAACAAACAGATGTTTTTAAGAATGAGAATCGATCCATAGACGAATTTATTTTCTTAAGAGCCTCATCTTGTTGATTCTCACCAATCATCTAGAAACATACGATAGCAAAGAGTAGTAGAGTTTAATTAAAATTTTAAGTAGCTAAAACTTACAATATATATTTGATACAAGAAGTGAGCTTTGATGAATGTAACAAATTCATAGTTTTCTTTCAAGAGAGAAAATGAAGGATCCGTTCGAGAACAGTGATCAAGTACCTTATTGGAAATAAAAAAATTGGGAACATATAAAAAAGACATAGCACTCAAAACAGAAACTAACGTTTGATATGATAATAGAGAGATTTCTGGCTTCCCGATATTCTTTCAAATCTAACAGCAAATACACTTAAGAATAAATATCAAAGAATATTTTATTTTACCTATCCAAGTACTCGTTGATTTCATTAGAATCTATTAATGAAATATAGTTAGAAAATTTTATCAACAATCCAAGGACTACTTACCATCAAGAAGTTAAGTATACAGTACCATTGGTTTGAATTTAAAGGCATGACCCATTTCAAAAGATAGACGCAAATAGTACGCACTGAAACATCAATTCTCTTAAAGTATTTATTTTTAAATGTTTATTACAAACTTTTTGCAACTTTTCGAAGTTGCCAGCTGTGGTGAACTTTCTTTTGAACGATATAGTTCCATAAAGTTGACGTTCTTCTATAAACCTTAAAATTTCATATTTTACAAAATTTTAATAAAAGTTGTATTTGAACTAAAACTAAAATTACTTCTGTAAGAGAAACTTGAAAACTCTCCAATAGTTTGGGTACTTCGAACTTAGGAAGTTTAAGAACTTCCTCAAGCATCTCATCAATATCACTTTCATTAATGTTTGGATGCTTCAACTCTGTAAAGTTGAATTTCGCAATAAAGTAAGCAGCAATATAGGTATATTTATTTAAAGAGATGTATATGTATATATAAAACAAACCTTCAATAATTTCAAGAACTCGACGAACAACTTTGTCATCCATGGTGCAAAATGGTCTAGAAAGTTTAACTTCCCGCCGCTGACTAGAAAACGTTCTTCGCTTAAATATCGCTCACACTAAGTGCAAAAATATGAAAATTACTGCAGGAAAAAAAGTTAGGCCGAAATTCTATTAAAATCAAAATTTTAGAAAAAGGTTTTCTTAATTTTAAATTTATTTTTTATTATATTTTATTTTAAAAAAGTAAAAAAAAAATTATTGCGGTACCAATGTGAGTAATTGTCCTTGAACCAAGTACAGGCTATTTCGATGAGGAACTGGTTACCTCACATTCGTACTATACTACCATCTGTCGACTAAATTTTAACCAATCGCCTTCGTTAAAGCACTTTATGAATATTAATGACTTATTCCAGCAGTACGTCATAACATTGCAATCTGCTCACCTCCGAACGCTATAGGAACAAATTTCGCATTTTTAGCTGACTGCAGTCGATGACAAGCGTTAACGGTACAACTAACGAATTCCTATATTTACTCCAACGTTAAAGTAGATTGGTCGAGTGGAAAATTTTATCGAAATCAGCTGTAAAAAACGTAGCTAGGCTATTAGGTCAAGTTTTGACAGGCGCCATCTTTAGGCGCGAAATTACGAATTATGGACAAAAATATGATGGGTCAAGAGGCAGACGGTGATTTTGAACCACAGCAATTTAGACTACGAGCAAATACGTGGCCTAATCGCCCTGTCGAACTTCAACTTACGGAACAGTCAAGTCCAGGAGAAACATCTGCAAGCCCCGCCGATCCTACTCCCGTTCCAAAGAAATCGAATTCCAGGAGAAATGCGTGGGGTAATATGAGCTACGCAGAACTAATTACAAAAGCTATAGAAAGCAGTCCAGACCAACGGTTAACTCTGGCCCAGATCTATGACTGGATGGTAAAGAACGTGGCGTATTTCAGAGATAAGGGTGACAACAATAGTTCGGCAGGTTGGAAGGTAAGTGTTTTTTTTAAACGTTATCTGGACGGTCATAGTCCAAAGGATTTGTTTAAACGGCTAGGAAACGTTTGGTGTTAGGTCTTTATGTAACAATGAAACGCCCTAACAATTTGTAAATGAATGAAAAGTGTAATGGGTGTGTCACTAGTTCTTGAGAGATATTGGTAGTTCAGTTTAGTTTATCGGTTCACGGAAGACTTTTTCGCTTCAAAATGTAGAAAAATGTGTGTATGAATAGGCTAAAATATGACGAAACTATATTGTATAGTTGTCTAAATAAAGTTGATAGATCTGACATTTGTGTTTCCTTATAATTAAGAAATTCTTGGAAGTTATATTACGTAAAGCCCAATTTGACCCTCATGATCATAAAACAGTTAAATCATTTTGGAATTATGTAAGTACAATTTGAGAACAATACTCAAACATTAAATACTCATATTTCCCTTCAATTTTTATTCTTTTTGAATCTGGTTTTAGAGTTAAAATAGACATGGAATGAAAATATATATTTCATTAATCTAAGCCTTGTTTGAGTTAAGCCCTTTTTAAATATTACTTAGAATTATAGATTTTTAAATGCTTCTTTGAATACGGAAACGCTTTTATATGTATTTAACTTTAAATGTGACTGTAAGTACATGTAATGTGAGAACTCATACTCAACAATTTTTCCGAGTTCAAGGAAATTTGACAGTACAGTATATGCTTTATTAATATGTAGCACCTACTGCTCCTTTTTTGTTACTTTGAAAGGTCTTTGATTCTAAAGTTAGTCAAGGATTACTATAAGCTGGAGCAAAAAACATAATTTTCATAAGAAATTATATAGATAAGTGACAGATAAGTCTAAGGATATTTTTGATCTATTTTTAGTAAGGATATGAAAAAGGTGTATCATGTCAATTCAAATTCTCAATCTGACCTACAATTCAGGTTTCAATAATAGTGAAACCCGGCCTTAGAACTGCTTTAATCAATTCTACATCTTAAGACGATGACGTTTTGCACCAACAAGGATTCCTTATCTCAAATTACAGCCAATTGTGCGTTTTCTCCACTACTCTTTTACACTGAAATATTTTTCATTACTTATACACGGCATATCAGGGATATTATCACGTGACCAATTTTGAGTACAATAAATTATAGAGCGCTTTCCTTTACATAATTACCGTCATCTCCAATACTTAAAAGAAAGGACTCTAGTTTCTAGTTGATTTACTCATTACCCTTCACACCTTTATACCTAGAAGGCGTTACTATAGCAACATCTTAGACTCAGTCATTTCGATAGCCTTTAACCAATAAATCTGTATGTAAGTCATTATTATAGAAATAACAATCGTGTCTGCTGAGAGTGAAAAATATACTATAGTCCAAACGTTCCGAGAGGTATATATTAAAACAAATAATTAAACTTTTATCGAGTTTGGATTGGCCTCGGTACAGGTCAAGTTTTGGCCTGATCCAGGTAATTTTTTTTCAGTTATACAGGAAGAACCTTTACTACTCTGCTGACGGTATATTTATTTAGTTTCATTATTACTAAAGTACTGGCTTTTGCCAGTAGTCGCCCCAGTATTATATTATGACTTAAAAGTATTTATTCAATAACTATTTCTATTTTTTTTAAATTAGAACGCTTAAAGTTATATTTCGGCTTTAGGGTCAAGGGTCATTTAACAGGACTTATTATCAAGCAGTGTCGTCGAACAATGCGCTTTTTAAGTAAAATATGCATTATCAATTTCGAATAGAATGATATTTTCTAGCAATTCTTATAGCTGTCTCCTGAATTCCTATCTTTTTTTACTATATCTATATGACCTTAAGTATAATAAATTGTTACTTTTAAACATGGAAAAACTATGTGATATCGGATCTCAGCAAATAAGGTTTTGAAAGAATTAACTTAATTTTGTATCACCCAGGATCTATATATATCTGTACTTTTGCAAGTAAGAGCTTCATCAAAATCAACAAATGCATTATTTTGTTGGCTGTCATCCTGGTCTTAATTTTCTTGTATATTACACGAAAAACTCAGGAAGGCTTGCTAAATCATAGTAACGTGACTTGCTTAAGAATAGAATGTGCTTGAGCTTAGCAAACGGAAGAGACTTAAAATTTTTATTCAATTTCATTAAAACTCAATTAATCATGGCTTTACAAAATATTACAAATCTTTTTAAAAACAAGTTCAATTTCATTTTTCGGAATGTTAATAGAATAAGTTGATATCTTTTTTAACTGCAAACGACCCTCGACCTAGTTTTCTTCAGGTCAAAATAATTCACCGTTTTTGTTTATTTAACATTGTGTTTAAACTAATAACTTTTGAAACGGATCTACTGATTAAATATTTGCTACCATTTTCTTTCCTTTTTTTTAAAGAAAAACATAAATTTTAGCTCTAAAAAAGTCTTGTATAACCGGTGAGTAAACATAGATCCAGTATGATATCTAGTTTTTAGTATGGCACAAAAGAGATTCTTTTAAAACCTACGATTGATCATAAAAACTACAAAAGATTTGATGGTATCGATTAGTCCAATGTACAGTCGCATGGCACAAAACGTGCTTCAATTATTTAAATAAGCTTTATTCTTTATGTCAGACAACAGCGAATCCCTACAGTTTATTACCCCATCAATTTATTTGTATTTAACTGGTGTCATTACATTATTTCTATATTTATAGGTGGTACGAAATATTTTTTATTAATTTCTCAGATATTGTTTCTAAATATGAGTAGTTTGTTAACCATACGAATTAGAATTTTTTTGAAAAGCCTTATTTTAAATGAAAAAATTTCAATATGTTACTAAGTCAATGAACTTTATAGTAAAACGACAGATGTTGGAGTGATATTTCAAGTCACGTTTCAAGTTTTAATTCGATTTATCGGTAGGCAGATAAAAATAAAAATATATATATATATATTAGTATATAGTATAAATTTATAGTATATAGTATATAAATGCTTATATATAGGGAAATAGGGAGCTTTATAGAATATGTAAAAGGAGTTATTCGACCGTGCTTATGCATTGCGAAAGATTGAATGATTCAATAAATTTTATATTGATCAGAATGGGAGTATTTTTGTAGTTAATACAATTAATTTTATTCATGTTCTTAGATTTTCAAATGTAAATTTATTTCCATATCTGAGGAAAAACGACAGAATGTTTTTCAAATTATTTCCAATTTATATAGAATATTATGCTTTAAAGGTAGAAATATAAATAGATACTCTCTCTCTCTCTCTCTCTCTATATATATATATATATATATATACTGTATATAAATATATATATATATGCTACACATATTCAAATTACACTTACTTATACAATCTCAGTGTATTCATATTTAATCTGTCCTATGGTTTATTATGTGCTTAAATGTTTTTTTTTTCTTTTTTACATGTTTATGTACATATTGAATAATTTTTTGGTATTAAAATGATTGATAATATTTTGGCCTGTCGCCAAATTTTCCATAATTATTTACATATTCGATGAACAAATGTTCTAATCTAGAAAACAATACGTTTAGAGATTAATTTACCGAAAAGTATAGACCTATCTACAGAAACCTTGACCTACTTCAACATGTTCTTATCATATCTTATAAATATCACCTCCTGTATAGTTAAATAGATTTTTATATTTATGAATATTTTTGTTTTATGCTTACGATATCCCGATATACCCGTGTTTCTCTCCCAAATTAAATTAAACCTTTAAAGGATCCATATTTATGCATATACGCAGTTAAAGAGTTAGCTTAATCAGCAAAATAATATGCTGTTCGCTTGTCTTACAAGCACATATACTTTCATATCGTGGGATTATTTTTAAACAAATCTGAATGATATCGATAGAACTTTCATCGACCTCTACACGTTGCGTAATATATTTTGTTATCTTGGAATATAAACTCGTTAGAACGCCACCTGGCGAGATTACTTTTTTAGGCCGTTTTAAGGAACTTACTTCAGCTAAGTGCATTGAAAGCTCTAAATCGCACGGTGATTGACCTTTCATGAGTGCGTGAACAATAGCGTAAACAATAGTAAACAACGCTTTCGCAACGGTTTACGGCGATTAGCTGATATTTTGTAACAGTATAGATTTATGGATTAAGGATTAGTTCAAAATACATTCGTTAATATTTAGTCAACTTGGTCTTTCTTTCTTTTTATTAACGATGTATTTGATTTAGCACTTGTATGCAAAATCTCGCAATTTGAAGCAAACTTACAGTGAGATTATATTTAAAAAGTAAAAAACCGATCTTGTTTGTTAAACAAGCAAGTAGTATGGACAATTTGCGTAGTAAATATCTAACAAACTCGTAACATAGGCTGACGTTTAAAACAATAGGCAGCTCTCAATATGGTTCAAAATATATGCAAGTGTTGTTCATTCTATTTTGTCTTTGAAAAGAACATGATTAGATGCTTGCAAACTTGCATACCTGCTTCATTCTTAATTAATTTTTATATATAATCTTATTTAATGTTTTTAATTAGTGTACTGGTTTGATTTGTAAGGATAGAGTATCGATTTTACCATAAAAAGCGTATTAAAATGGAGAGATGGAGAGTTAACTGTTTATTCTTAGAATTTTTGGTACTTAATAATTTTTTTCGGGTTTATATACTAGAAATGAAAGAAGGTATCAAATTTTGCAAAATTTACAACAGAAGAAAGCAGTAAATGTTATTTATTTGTACCAATGTCAATATCAAATAGGTTAAAATACATGCTGTATTTATATTATATACATATTTATATATATACTGTATATATATGAGTGAGAGAGAGAGAGAGAGAGAGGCAGAGAGAGACAGAGATAGATAGATAGACAGATAATAACACGCAGAGTACAAGCAACAGAACTAAGGTAAAGAAAGAAATGAGAAATAAGACAAAAAAAGACCACCTGGTATTGTATACATATACCTAGAATAGAGATATTATTGAGCATTTGATTGTCTTCTATCGAAGCATTTTAAACGATTAGTCCTTTCAAAACCTAGGTGAATATTGAAGAGATGATGTAATTGCCTGTCAATTTCGCTTTGGAGAGAGACTAGGAAATGTTTCTATAATTGTCTCTTAACTCTTTTCTTATGTATTATTTATATATTTAAACAGTTTCCGTGTAGTTGGTAATGTTTGTAGTAATACAGGCTAAAAGGGAACAAAATTTATTTATATTTATAAATAAAAATAAATAAATTTAACAGTGCATCTATTAATCCAAGAAGCTAAGACAAAAGAGAGGAAAAGGGCATTGACTTTTATACAATACTCTGCGACCTATTTGCTAAATATAGATTAATAATTTAGAGTAAAATATATAAAGGAAAGAATAGATAATAACAATATGGTACAACTATGTTCTAAATGTCATTTAATTTCACTGGTCATTTCGTATAGAAGACGATATATTTTGATTTAGATTTTTAAGCTATCGCGAAGAACTTATATTGCTAGGATAATTACAAAGATTAATTGATTAATTTCTTCTCTATTATGTTAATTAATATTGGCCTATTTATGATAGGGTTATGGAAACATATACTTAATAATTTAGCAATAGAATTGATTAGATAAGCAAAACCATCCCTTCTATTTATTTAAATGTCAATACTAATATTGTAATACCGAAATAGATCAGTAATAAAAATAACGTAGGTTGCTCTATATTGTTAGGAAAATTCGTAGAATTCTAGGTAGATTTCCAATAAAATTTTTACAAAAATACGTAATATTTATTTACTTTTGCGATCCATAAATTTTTAGTCTTTTTTTTTAGGGGAAAATCTTGTTCAAATATGCTTTGTAACCTATGTTAACTAAATAATTTAACCCTCTATAGAAACATAATATAAACTGTTATTAGCATTATTGCCCAGGTGAATAATATTTTCAAGATAATGACGTAATTAGAAAACAGCTTATCTATAGTGATAAATATCGAGTTATAAATAAGGCATTTAATGAATACTTATTATGTTTGCGATTCTATACAAATGCGTTGCGAAGAATTATACATTTTACTAATATTTTGTGGTCTTGTATAACTCGATAAAATACGTTATAAGAACATATACATGAATATGCAAATAGAAAGAATCCCAACCTAAATATGCGGTATTTACTGAATATTTACTACAAATATGCTTTATATATATATAGTATTCGTAAATAAAGTATTACGTAATAAAGTATTATATAAACATTAGACTCTGTGTCACCGAGGAAATCTTTAGTAGTTTCTATTTTTATCATATAGTAATAAGATGACAATAATAAATATTTAAGACAAAAATAGAAAACGCCTGCAATAATTGAAAATTGTGTTTTTAAGTATCCCGATATCATGCTTTTAACGTTAGTTTATTGAATTTTTGTATTTTAGCTTAGAATCCATCAATGTTTTCGTTTTTACAAAAAATAGTATACTGCTACCTAACTGTAAAAAAAAAATAGTTTTCACTTAGTCTATTGTGTTAAAATAGTAACAGTATACAATAAAATTAACAAAGGATAAATTTCACGGAAAAAACCTGTTGAGAATTCTCCCTTGCTAGAAAAGCGTGTGATTAATATAATGCCATTGTAAGTCTGCATATGTGAATGACCTCATACGAAAGGTTCTTGACCGGCCTCTAATAGAAAATTAGAAGAATTATTATTCAAACATGATATGTTCTTTCTTTCCCAATTAAATTAAATTTAATGATAGTTTATAATTAATAGCAGAAATAGGTATTAAATTCAATTATAAATTGTAACATATTTCTATGCTTTTATTTAAAAAACGATAATAAAAAAAGCGCTGCATTCCTAAATCGTTTGTTGTAGAATTTAATTTATTGATTATCCTAGTAAAACGAGATGTCCTAGAAATGAGATATATGAACATGTAGCAACTTTTCGGCGTAGTTTGATAAATGGCCTGTATAATATTGACTATTCTTTAGTCGAATTACGCTGAATAAACTTCCGTATGATACAAGTTATGTCATGATACAAAGAGCTAAAATTTGTTGTCAATTGGTAACTTTAAAGAAGAAAATATTATTTTTAAGAGCGTTATCATCCGAATTTGATCATATCTATAGAATTTACTTAAAATAAAGGAAATCTTACTCTAGATAATAACATCGCGATAAAGATTTTTTTCACCAATATTTATAACTGACCTGTACGCTAGGCTGATTTAGATTCGATAAACGCCCACGTACATTTCTCTGTAAATGTGCCAGTGGAAGACTTGGAAAAATAGTTGCTATCGGCTAAAGCAAAGTAATTTCATACGGTCGAATGGTTCATAACAAATCGTGCTTATCTCTACGCCGTATTATTTCTTATTAATTTTCCTAATTTATAGAAAGAAAACATTATATATTAAAGTATAAACTATTAACAATATTCTATAAACTTAGTTTTAAATAACTAATTTGTGTCGATCTATTATATTCTGTGCACTAAATCTTTCAACTCAATAAATTTGACATCATTTACTAATCTACAATAGTTTGGTATACATTTATAATTATAATAATTAAAATACAATGTTTTTTGTTAAAAGCCAGTTAATAAGGGATTATGTCCTCCTTTTATACTGTATCGTCCATAAATGTATAGCTTCAATCTTGACCTAGAATCTGAAATAAGAGTAGGAGATTAGTATTTACTTGTGAAATTGTCTGAAAAGTATTTCAAAAAAAAAATGTATACAAATTCGTCCGTTAATAGGGATTATCCTTCTGTGACGTATGTTGATTTTAGTTTCCACTTAACTGATATAACTAAATGGAAAAATTAGGCTTAAAAACATATTGTCAATTAATTTCATTAGTTATACTATCCTCTTTTTTTCAGAACTCTATCAGACATAATTTGTCCTTACATACTCGATTTTCACGAGTACCGAATGAAAGTACTGGAAAATCATCTTGGTGGATTATCAATCCAGATGCTAAACAATCCAAAGCCCAACGTCGTCCCCGGGACAGGGCGTCTTCAATGGATACCCAAAAATATATGGCCAAAAGGCGAAATGCTAAAAAGAGTACAGAATATAAAAGGACAGCCGCCGCTTTGGCTAAAGGGGATTTAGTTTCAAATAGTACGGACGATTTACACTACCAACTTTCACCACAGCCACTGTGTGAAAGGTCTGGGTCAAATACAAGTAGCCTGCATCAACTCTCCCCGGTTCCAGTTTTAGAAGATTTACTTGATGATACAGCTTCTCACTGGCCAGCTCAAAATGAAAATTTTTCAGAAAGTTTGGCTCAGAGTTTTGCGTCCGTTAGCGTTCAGGATTCGTTACAACGTCGATTGAATACACCGAGTCCAAGACAAAGTTTAAACGTATCTGCAGATGGTACCTCTCCCAACTATTCCGGTATCAACGATACTGTGGATCATAAGAAGAGCCCATCTCTCTTGGAAAGTCTTTTGGACGCCCCATCTCCTCCGAACCCCCATGTATCGCAGATGAATAATCCAAACAGATCCCCGTTGACAAAATCGCAGGTGAACGTTCCTAACAATACGGTATCTATGTTGCGCGAAGCGTTGTTATCGAAAAATCCACAATTGGTTCAACTGCATTTACAGCAGCAGCAAATGCAAAATTTCTCTGATCCAGGATACACTGTGCAACCGAATAGCTTTCCCATTAAACAGGAACCTATCTATCACTTCTCTGAGCAGGAACAGAATGCTGTAAACGATTTCGATTTATTTCAAGATCCGAACAATGGAAGACAGTATCCGATAACTATAAAACAAGAATTTCCAAATCAAATTCAACATCCCGATTCCTTGCCTGATTTGAAAGATATTGATATATCAAATGATGTCGATATGTCCTGTAATTTGGATGAAATAATCAATCAGGAATTGGATATGGAAGGAACACTCGAATTTAACTTCGATCCAGCTTCCGGACATAACGGTAAATATTTTATGCGGTCCTTGCTTACTATCGACGAGCATCGTTGTTATTAGCATGCATTTTACTAACATCTTTAACATTATTTTGCGAAAAACACGCAGTAAAAATTTTTCATGAAAAAATATCATAAACTGAATTCTGCTTCCCAATTTGCATGGAATGCTCCAAAGCTCATTGATTGAACTATATTAAAACTGTTTTATTACATAAAATGACTGTAATGACCAAATAACTACTACCTATTCTATTTTTTCAAACGAAAACGTTGTATGGTGGAATACCAATTTTTTTTGTCAAGACTGTCTATTTAGTGAAAGAGAAGAAAGGCAGATTTTTGCATATGTATTTACATAAATATATATATATATATATATACTGTATATATATATATATAGTATATATATATATATATATATATACTGTATATATATATATATAGTATATATATATATATATGTGTGTGTATGTATATACAGACCAACCAAAATATATATAATTTTATATATATATATTTTTTTGATTATTACTATTAAACGCATGCCATATTTTGTAAATTAGGTGTTGGGTATACATACATTATATCTGATACTTTTTTCAAGATATTGATATTGATCACAATCATAACATTTGAATTTGGCAAAAATTATTTTTTATTGAGACACGTCATTAGAATGCTATAAAAGAGAGACCAAAATAATGATTTTTATGAAAATTTTCTGTTATTTTCTGCCATAATTTTTATTATATTTTTTCTTTAAAAAAAAAAAAGAAATAATTTTTTTCCTTGTTCTTGACTTTAAAGTGATTCACGCAGAATGACAAAAGAGAAAGATTTTTATATCTGCAGTATTTATTTATTTTTTTTTACTTAAAGAGACAAACGAAACAAAACAAATAATTAATTAATTAAAATATTAAAATAAGTAATATTTCTTTAATAAATTAGAAAAAGTTAAGATAAAAGAAAAAAAAGATAGTTTTGAAATCTTTTTACTTTTTTCTCCTCTTTTATTTTTTCTCTAGAAAGTCTTTTCATTGAATGAAAAACAGCATATAAATATAACATTTAAAAAAAGAGGCCTTGATAATATACACATATATATATACATGCTTATATAAATATGTATATATATATATATATATATGAAATTTAATTTGCTTGTGATATTTGCTTTACTCGAGCACATAATTTACATCTTTAGAGAGAAAATTTGAATAAATACTTACTTTAAAAGATATATATTTATGTACATGTATACAATGTATTAAGTATATATCTACATACGGAAGATGATATTTTCCTGATTTTCTCTTTATCTCTTTTTCATTTTAACGAAAAGATTAAAATTTTTACTTCGTGTTTTTTTTCTCACCAAAATCATTCATAGCATCATTTTTAAGTTTATTATATATATATATATATATATATATGCATTTATTTATTTATATTTATCATTTATATATTATTTATTGAATAGTTACAAAAAAAAATAATAACTATAATTAAGAGAAATAGGTGGTTTTTTTTGCTTCTTTTAATAATAATCTTTTAACAACGTATGCTAATTCAGGTAGTAAAATGTTTCTTATAAAAGTTATTCTCATTTAACAGGCAACGGCTTAACACTGCACTGAAAAATTTATTTCACCCAAAAAGTAAAAAAAATTAATTTAAATACAGCATTCTTTTGATCTCTGCTCAAATATTTAAAGGACAGGCTGGTGTTTAAAAAAAAAAGATAAATATAAAAAGACTGGCATATTCTGTTAAATTCTTTTTCTCTATTTTTTTTTTTTGGCTTTTACCTTTTTTATTTAACACTTGCTTCCTTTATTGATAACTGTTTAATGTTTCGTTTGGCCTTTGTGTATTACATATTCTTCATTGTTTATGTATAAACAAGAAAAAACAAGAGACTGTGCTGTTTGTATAAGTTGTACAGATTGTTTTTTGATGGGGCGAAATCTGTAGATGATGGTATATGTATATGTACATATATATCTATATATGTTATATATATATATATATGTTCTTGGAGAAATATTTAATGACGTAACTCTTTAACGTTTGCGCACTTGTTGTTCTTCCTTTGTCACTTTTCGTTTAAATTTTTTATAACTTCCTGTAAATACTTGACCTGAAAAGGAGAGTGCGCTAACTTTAAATATCGTTTAAATATTTTTTCTATATCTTTAAAAAAAAGCTTGCAGGATTCGTGCAGAGTGTTGAAAAAAGTGTCTTAACTTTTTTGTTCTTTCTTAAAAAAAAAAGTAATTAACAATTTTTTCCTACTACTGTCTTATTGCATATGTGTAAAATTGAATGAATTTGGAATGGAAATACAAAAATTTATGCCCAGTGATTCCAGAAGTTAATGTATAGTTTTATTAAATGAAAAATCTGGATCACTCAAACAGAATGCAGATATATATATATATATATATATATATATATATATATTTATATATATATGTAAGTATGACAGTTGATTATTGAGGAGATGTTGTTTTATTTTGTCTGTTTTGAATATCAAAAATAAAAAAAGTATTTTACGTTTATCAGGGATATATTTAATTTCTTTTATATAAATATTATATAAGTTTCGGAATATTTTTCATATTAGGAAATAAAAGATTATTACACTTAAAGATTATTCTGTATTTAGTAAATTTCTCCTATATAACATATAGGTTCCTTGTTAAGAATATAGCTTGATTATACAAATTTAGTCTTTTCCCCCCTCCCCTCACTGTAACGTTATACATTTTAATGTCGGCTACTAATTAATAACAGACTAATTGCGAGCTAAAAATTTTTACTATCCCTTTCCTTTTTGCCTTACTTTGAACTAAGAGTTAGACCTTATCTTATTTCGTTTGAAGTTACAACCATTTCGAACACTTACCTTGTTACGGTTGGTTGTATATTTCTTATCGAGTTTTAATATTCAAGGTAAATTGGCGAAGGGAGTGGAAACAGAGAGTGCATGTAATGAAACTATGACATTGACTTTACTAACGATTAATCTTGACGCAAAAGTTCACTGAGTGAACATCTAAGAATCATTAATATAACTAGAAGGTTACTAGACCGGTGTATTTTTTCTCACTTCCAAAAGAATGTGTAGTTATCCCTAGAAAAGATAAGAGGAGAGCACGCAAAAGATAAAATAATATTGAGAAAATAACATATGGTATCCTTTACGTAATCGTTAAAGTTTTTCGCGGACGAATCACTTTCCAAGAAGAGAATATATAACAGAAATATATTATATGTATAGCCATTTTTAAGCACTGAAAAACGGTTAAAGCTCTTCTAGTATGTAACCTTTTGCTTTCTTTCTTTTTTCTATTACTTTTCAATACTCGAGCTTCAAATGCCTATTAATAAACATTTGCTTTTCGTTATGGTCCATCCCTTTTCCAACGAATCCTTTATTTGTCTGAATTTGTATCAAATATGGCTAAAACAGTTTTTATGTATTTATGATATATTTATGAAAACAAAGAGCTCTATTGATAAGCTACAAATTTATAGTATCCCATCAATATTTTTGATAAAACGTAGAGTGCAAATGGTTGGTTTTTTTTCTACTAGTTTCAGCTGGAAGGCAACTTGGTATCCAATTTCAAGCATAAAAGTAAACTAATGGCATCTATGTTTATCCTCTATAAGTAAATTGGAAGAAAGTTTCAGATTATCAATTACATCGACGTCTGATATTTAAAGTATCGCTTTATTTTGTAAGTAAACCTAACATATTTTCATTTAAACGATCAAAAAAGTGATAAATTACAAATAAACTGTGACTTAAATTGCAAAAATTCTTTAGTATACCAGATATTTTAGATAAGGAATAAATTATCAAAACGACAATTTACTAAAATTATATGCTTATTTAATAATTAATGATAATAACAGTAAAACGAAAGTAAAAAGTAAAGAAAAAATACAGCGAGTATTCTATTTATTTTTTATAAAAGAAATAAAAATACCATCAATATTATTTAAAAATCTAATAACGATTTTTTACACGTTATGTAATAATTTCAAGATATCATATTTTTTTATCATTTAAACTTTTGTTACTTAATATAAAAACAAAAAATGCTTTGTTCAACCCTTATACTGTATTTTCATTTTGTATTGTACTTGTATAAACCTTTAATTATTTTTACTAGTCATCAATTAAAAAGTACTCTGACTTTAGCTCACCTTAGGAATATATATATATACATATATATCTAATTTCAGATATCATAATAATTATTACTTTAATAATAATAAAAAACTATTAATTGTAACTTGGACTAAAATTTATCAATAAATGAATAAATTATATAAAGTATGAATATGTGATTTATAGGCTAAAATTGAAAAAAAAATAGGATAAAATATATAAAATCTATGTAATAGGTATAATCTGTCATCTGTTTGAAGCAGTCACTGCTTTACCCTATAATTGTTATTTTTAGTAAATTATCTACATAGTGAAATAGTATAACTTTCATTTGTTAAGTTTGTCATTTTGTTATCGAAAACAAAAAACATATATCTTAATTGAAACTTTTCAAATTACCAGTGAAAATGTCTATTTAAAAAAAAGAAGCTATGCATACTCTTCTTATCACTGTGAATGATCAAAAGATAACGATTTAGTTAAAAATTCTTTATCATTTTAATATCTCTGATTTTTTTTTATTACATTTAACAAAAAAAAGTATTTTATACAAAGGTGTTTATAATTGAGTAAAAGCTACATTGAATTAATCATGAAAAAAGTGAACATCTAAGATAGGAAAATAGAGTAGGAGGGGGTATGAGAGAAAAGAAGTAAAGCAGACAGAGAGAGAGAGAGAGAGAGAGGAAAGAAAAAGAGAAAGGAACAGAAGAGAGAAAAAGCAAAAAAAGAGATAAAAGTATATATTAATAGAATAATTATGAGATGACTAATAGAAAAGAGAATTAAAAGGATGAAGAGCGAGAAGAGATCTTTGAAATAGCGTGTAAAATATTAAATTCTTAGCGAGAAATTTTATCGAATAATATGAA